CGCCTGAGAGCTGAAGGCGTCTAATGCAAGGGTTATTGGATCTGATAGATCCGTAAGAACGTGACATCACTTCTATCGGGCGTCCCAAGACGCACAATTTTTATTACTAGAGGTCCCGCGGTAGTCGAAATTCGACTATAATTAATTGGAATTGTATAATAAGTTTGTACACTATTATGATTGTATTTTATACTTCTATAATCACAAATTTCGCCAAGGCTACACTATAAAAATTATTAATAGAGACAAACAATATTTAATCTATTCTCAATTTGACAACAGACGTCAAGAACAAAAGTTTGACAATAAATAAATAGTATGCATGCGTGTGTGCACAGAACACTATTACTTCTTGCGTGTGTGCGTCAAATACATGGAATGTTTTTTTTTTTTTTTTTTTATTGCTTAGCTGTGTGGACGAGCTCACANTTTTTTTTTTTTTTTTTTTTTATTGCTTAGCTGTGTGGACGAGCTCACAGCCCACCTGATGTTAAGTGGTTACTGGAGCCCATAGACATCTACAACGTAAATGCGCCACACACCTTGAGATATAGTTCTAAAGTCTCAGTATAGTCACAACGGCTGCCCCACCCTTCAAACCGAAACGCATTACTGCTTCACGGCAGAAATAGGCGGGGCGGTGGTACCTACCCGTGCGGACTCACAAGAGGTCCTACCACCAGTAATTACGCAAATTATAATTTTGCGGGTTTCATTTTTATTACACGATGTTATTCCTTCACTGTGGAACTCAATCGTGAACATTTGTTGAGTACGTATTTCATTAGAAAAATTGGTACCCGCCTGCGGGATTCGAACACCGGCGCATCGCTTCAACACGAATGCACCGGACGTCTTATCCGTTAGGCCGCGACGACTTCTAAAATGTAGTGTGTGTAACGTTTTCTTTATTGATTTAATGTATCTTTTATGCATTATTTTAAAAAAATATTAGCATTGTGCACTAAATCTCTATATTCTCTATAAGTGTGCAAAATTTCATACTCCTCCGTCCGCGCAATTTTCGTGAAAAGGGATACAAAGTTTTTGCTTCACGTATTAATATAAAGAAGATCATTCAAAAGCGTCTCGTGTCCAATTGAATTTGTATCAAAATCCGACCTGTGGTTTTTGAGCTATAAGGATAGATAGATAGATATAAGGCATAGAATCTAGTTGAAGATTGACCACGCACAATCTTCAACTAGATTCTAATTGTATTTCGCTCGAGTCTGTTTTTTTTTCTGTTTTTTTTGTACTAAGTTTATACATTGTTTGACAAGTGACAACCCTGACATCACGCCAACGTTTATAACGCGAATCAAAATAATTATGTTTTATTTATATATAACTAGCTGACCCGGCAGACTTCGTAGTGCCTCAATCGGTAAATAAAAGACCTAAACTTTTATATAAAATAAATTTAAAACAAACAAAAGGAATCCGTCCGACGCGACACCTCAAAGGAAAAACAAAATTGTTATTTTTATTTAATTCCGAGCATTTTCGTATTTATTCACCCTTTAAACCTACTCTGGACTTCCACGAATAATTCAAGACCAAAATAAGCCAAATCGGTCCAGCCGTTCTCGAGTTTAACGAGACTAACGAACAGCAATCCATTTTTATATATATAGATATATAGATGACGCGAACTTGTTTGTTTACGCTTACGGCTTTATAAATAGTGCGATTTTACGACTTATCTTTTTACTGTAAGATACATTATAATACTAAAAGTAATGAATAAATAAACACTTGGTAGACATAGTTACAGCCGATAGAAGTGAAAACTTACAACTCAAAAATTTTAGTATTAAAATATGAAATTTAATTATGTTTAAATTAAAATTATTAACATTAATAAACTGTTTTTCACATCTATTGACACCCCGAGCAACAATTATATACATGTTTATATGGTTTATTTATTATTTAAATATATTACCGGCTGCACAAGGTCATGATTTAACGGCCGTCTGGTGTAGTGGTAAGTGACATGGTCACTACACAAGGGGGTCGCGGGTTCGAATCCCGCCAAGGGAAGATATTTGTATGATAAATATAAATGTCTTTTCCAGGGTTATGGATGTATATTAAATATGTGTATGTGTATAATAAAAATCTTATATATATTTCCGTTATCTGGTACCTGTAACACAAGGTCTTTACGAACTTACCACGGGACCAGTTAACGTGGCGTGACTGTTAGTAAATATTTATTTATTTATTTATATTTATGATAAAATAGAAATGCAATTTAATTGAAATAACAATTAATAAACAATCACTTTTAACTGAATCCCTTCAGTTTGACTTGTAAAGATATACACAGCACTGATTTTGCACAATACGTCACCTGTATAACAGGACTTTTTGACGGGAACGCGAGGAGTGAAGTTGTGTGATTTGTTTTATTTTGTAAATATAGTTTTTTTTTCCTACCTAAGCTGAGAGCCTTGAGAGGCTATATCAGCGTAACCTTAACTAGTAGGCGAGCTCACGGGGCTCAAACCTGACGACGTTGCTAACACGAACCCTAGAAAGAGCAATGCTTCGCAGAATCTACCACCGGATCGGAAACGCGACCCGCTGAGAAAATCCGGCGAGAAACTCAGTGGGCTGTGTCTGAGGGTTAATTTACTCGTCGAGCCCGTCGCTTGCGACGAAGGTCTTGAAGGGCTTGAAAGAACGATGACCGGTGCTTGAGGTACCTAAAAGCACCTTTAGTGGATCGGGAGGATCCGAAATGACGTGTTTGGGGCGACGTCGACTGCTTTCCATTCTTTTCGCAGGATCGGGAATGATGTTACCGGCGGCCACGATGATAGGGTTCTCGTGTCGTGCCGCTTTATCGAAGTGGGTATATAGTGTTTGTTCAGGTTTAAATGTGTAATAATGGTGGTTTATTAACTGTTTAATATCTGTGAAAGTGCACAAATGTGAGAAAATAAAATAAAGCCGCTGGACGTAACTTCCGGGATCCTACAAAAAGTCCACTGAAAGTCTCAATAAATGACCACAATTTTACTGAGATTATATTTCGTCCCTTATCTCATTTCATTTAATTTCACTCCTTAATATAATTTTTATAAAAATAGGAATATAAATTGAAATAAAACTTAACCTAAAGGTCTTAGTTACCGGGTCATAAAATTCCTTTAAAACAAAAAACAGACTATTGAGGGTAGATGTAAAGAGCGCCATCTTGTATAGGGGACAAGTTGAATAAGTGTCCGCTTGTACACAGCGAGCTATTGTTGGAAGACTCACCGACATAGCGCTAGTGTAGGAAGTGGAAACGATATGAATATAGCAGTTTTAAACAGAGCGAAGTGGTAGTTTAGTGCGCTATATTTAAAATCTCTCCACTTGCTACTGTGACGCCACCTTCATTGACTCCATTTTTTTTTGCTTAGATGAGTGGACGAGCTCACTGCCCGCTTGGTGTAAAGTGGTTACTGGAGCCCATAGACATCTACAACGTAAATGCGCCACCCACCTTGAGATATAAGTTCTAAGATCTCAGTATAGTTACAACGGCTGCCCCGCCCTTCAAACCGAAACGCATTACTGCTTCACGGCAGAAATAGGCAGGGCGGTGGTACCTACCCGCGCGGACTCACAAGAGGTCTTACCACCAGTAAATTTCAGCGGACACTAGTGCAGTTAGCACGTGCCAAGTGTCTTCTTAGAACGTATATATGGGCGCAAACACTACTACCACTATTGGCAATAATTAACATCATAACATAATATAGTTTAGTTTGATATACGTTATTATTTATTTATTATTAGCAAGATGAAACTGTTATTCCGCCATATTTAATATTTAGCAGACCACTGTTTTGATGTGAAAATGTTCAGAATATGTTTAATGTTTATATTATTGTTTAGAAACACAAATGACTGTATAAATAATTAAATATTAATAAGCATAACTATTAATAACAAGCTGACCCGGCAGACTTCGTAGTGCCTCAATCGATAAATAAAAGACCTAAACTTTTGTATAAAATAAACTTAAAACAAACAAAAGGAATCCGCCCGACGCGACGGGGGACACATCAAAGGGGAAACAAAATTGTTATTTTTATTTAATTCCGAGCATTTTCATATTTATTCACCTTTTAAACCTTCTCTGGACTTCCACAAATAATTAAAGACTAAAATTAGCCAAATCGATCCAGCCGTTCTCGAGTTTTTAGCGAGACTAACGAACGGCAATTCATTTTTATAATATATAGATAAAGATAATTTATATTATAATTAACAGTAATAATTTGATTAAGTATAAGAATTGTTATGCAAATGATAATTGTTGGCGCCATCTATTATTAGGCTGGATAATAACAATGTTAATTTATTTAAATTAAAAGTAATGTATGTAAAATAAATTAATGTCAGAGTCATGTAAAAATCACTAAAATACGTATTGTGAATATTAATCTATGTTTTGTGAACTGTTTCACAGTAATTACAATTGTTTGTATAAAAGAAGTTGTAGTTGCTACAACCAACACAAAAAGGCTAATTGTCTAAAAACTAAGACGTGGCTTTTTGTAATTTCATTTTCTTTTGTAACGGCGGTCCTTTTTGATTTCGCCAAAGTCAAGTTTTATAGAGTCTGTGGTTTTGGTTATGCTCAGATGTCTTTTGGTGTGGTTTGGATTCATTTTTGTTGGGTGGGCTTCCTGATTGCACAAGGTCACATCAATTTTAATTATTATTATTTTACAAAGTAATCAACTGTTGAATTACTTACCTGGCTTTTTGTAATAAACAAGTAATATTAAAGTTTTATAGTATTGTATTGTATTTTCATTGTAAAACACCTTATGTGTGAAAACCATGGCGTAACGCCGACATATATCAGTCTACAGAGTGGGGTCGACATGACCACATCACCCCCACCAGTACAACAGACTTCTTATCCTGTGGCTATGACTCCAATTCGCTCAATTCATGGTACCGTCATCACAAAAACAATAAAAAAACAATTTCTTTATTAAACTTATTTATTATCCATCAATTTTCACGGCTCCTCTATAGTGGGTCCGAGGACCGCACTGCTGTACGCCAGGTCCCAGTAATGTTCGACGCCGTGTTTTTGGAAATGCTCGCGCGCTTGTTTCTCTGTCGGTACCACCTGAACCAAATAGTGTATTATTGATATTTTTTCCTGGTCAGATGGGTGGACGAGCTCACAGCCCATCTGATGTTAAGTGGTTATTGGAGCCCATAGACATCTACAATGCCACCCACCTTGAGATATAAGTTCTAAGGTCTCAGTATAGTTACAACGGCTGCCCCATCCTTCAAACCTAAATGCATTACTGCTTCACAGCAAAAATAGGCGGGGTGGTGGTATCTATCCGCCTGGACATACAACACACTAGTTAGCGCATAGACAACACAACACAATTATTCGCAGTCGACTCAGACAGAGAATTTAGAAAGTCAATCTTCTTTGTCTCCAACTTATCCCACTAGGTGGGGTCGGCACAGCTAATTTTTCTCTTCCATTCTCTTCTATCAGCCGTCACCTCAACACTCACTCCTCTCTCTCTCATATCGCCATTCACACACTCCATCCATGTCTTCTTCGGTCGACCTCCTCCCCCTCTACCTCGCACTACCATGTCCATACATCTCCTAGTCACATGCGTCTCCTCTCCACCCATCACATGTCCACATCACGCTAACCGTCCGCTCTTGAATTTGTCGATCACCGGGACTACTTTCACACTTCCTCTTACCTTAAACTTGATCTCCCCGAAGGCCCTTTGTTTGGTGGTGCCCTCCCAGACCAGGTGACAGGAGTTAGGAACGTCGCAGCCCTCGGCGTCCTTAACGGTGTCCTCCTCCCACTTAATGCGGTGCAGCATCAACCTGATACGTCGGTTTATTGCTCATAAGCCCTCAGGGTTATCGATGCAGACAAACAAAAAACATCACCCTGTATCTAGGAACGGTCAACGACATAGATTTTTCGAGTAACATAGAGAGCCTATTTTATAAACCTCGAGGATTTATTCTAGATTCGCCGAATTAGTAGGTGAGCTCACGGGGCTCAAACCGGGAGTGTTGCTAAAACTGGCCCTAGCAAGAGCCGTGCTTCGCAGAATTTACCACCTGATCGGAAACGCGACCCACTGAGAAGATCCGACGAGAAACTCAGTGGGTTGTGTCTGTGGGTTAATTCGCTCGCCGAGCCCTTCGTGGCAAGCGACGGGTTCGACGAGGACGGTGACCGGTGCTTGTGGTGCCTAAAAGCACCGTTAATGGGTCGGGGGAGCCCCGTGAGCTCACCTACTAATTCGGCGAATCTGGAATAACCCCTCGAGGTTACTAGAATTTTTCTAATTGCTTAAATGGGTGGACGAGCTCACAGCCCACCTGATGTTAAGTGGTTCCTGGCGCCCATAGACATTTACAACGTAAATGGCGCCACCCACCTTGAAATATAAGTTCTAAGATCTCAGTATAGTTACAACGGCTGCCCCACCCTTCAAACCGAAACGCATTACTGCTTCGCGGCAGAAATATGCAGGACGGTGGTACCTACCCGTGCGGACTCACAAGAGGTCCTACCATAAGTATAATAGAAGAGATTAGAATAGGGAAAAAAACGCGACCCACTGAGAAGATCCGGCGAGAAACTCAGTGGGCTAATGAAGAGTGGTACTTGCCGCTTGTACTTGGCGTGCTGGCGTGGGCCCCCCTCTGCCACCACCACGCAGCAGCCCCGGTGCAGCAGCACGCAGCCGCTCATGTGGAGCTGCTGAGCGTTCACCTCGACCTTGAACTTGGCCGACGCGCACTCGAACAGATCACGGATCCTATCAACAAGGTACCGCCTCAGCAACGACGCTGTGACTCTTCTTCTTTTTCTTATCAGCCCACAGACGTCCGCTGTTGGACATAGGCCTCCCTCAATGCTGGACATAGGCCTCCCCCAATGATGGATATAGGCCTCCTCCAATGCTGGACATAGGCCTCCCCCAGTGCTGGTTATAGGCCTCCCCCAAGCCTCGCCACAAAGACCGGTCCTGCGCTGTCTGCATCCAGCGGATCCCCGCGAACCTCCAAAGATCGTCGGTACATCTTGTGGGAGGCCTAACCACGCTGCGTCTTCCGGTAAGCGGTCGCCACTCAACAACTTTCTGGCCCCAACGGCCATCTGTTCTACGAGCAATATGTCCTGCCCACTGCCACTTCAACGTCGCAATCCTTTGGGCTATGTCGGTTACCATGGTTTTCCTACGAATCTCCTTATTTCTGATTTGACTGTGACTCTATGCGGTTTTATTTATTTCTTCGATGGGTGGACGAGCTCACGGCCAGCTTGGCGTTATGTGGTTACTGGAGCCCATAGACAACGTAAATGCCGCCACCCACCTTGAGATATGAGTTCTAAGGTCTCAGTATAGTTACAACGGCTGCCCCGCCCTTCAAACCGAAACGCATTACGGCTTCACGGCAGAAATAGGCGGGGTGGTGGTGCCTACCCGCGCGGACCCACAAGACGTCCTACCGCCGGTAATGGTCTGGAGAGGCGTTACCAATGCTCTCCAAGTGCGACCAACCAGCTCGGGACATTAAGGAAGAATCCTCAATTGTACCATACAAGTGTCTGAAGATTCTGACTCCGACACGCGTGACGGCGTTGCGACAGAAATACGCAGAATGACGGTACCTGCCGTGTGGGCGCGCGATACTTTAACTTTAACCTTTATCCGTGATTCACAAACTACAAATTTATATCGAGGGGTGAAAAAGACATTTTTTTGGTTTAAGCAACATTTTTGCAAATTTACAGCAGAACCATTTAAAGTTTCAATACCACCACCCTTCCTTTTTCTGCCGTGAGGCCGTAATGCGTTTCGGTTTGAAGGGCGGGGCAGCCGTTGTAACTATACTGAGACCTTAGAGCTAATATCTCAAGGTGGGCGGCGGCATTTACGTTATAGATGTCCATGGGCTCCGGTAACCACTTAACACCAGGTGGGCTGGGAGCTCGTCCACTCATCCAAGCAATAAAAAAAAACAAAGTTCAATTAAAAACACCGGGGCGCTAAGCACTCACCTGTACACGGCCACGTGGACCCCGGCCGACGTGTCCTCCTGCAGCTTGCGGTCAACCTGAGGAGTTCCACGAGATCAGACCGACCACCCTGGGGCCCGGGGACAGCGACATAAAGACGCTGCCCGACGGCACTGAACGATCTGTATCTCTTTTAAATCACACGAACAAGTAATGTGAAGTGATATCTTGGACATTGCGGGAAATTATCTTTTAAGCAATGTATTAATATATATATCTCTGAAGTGTTATCTGTTTTCCCTACCTTTTTTTTATTGCCATTGTAGGCAGACGAGTACACGGCCCACTTGATGGTGAGTGGTTACCGTCGCCCATGGATTTCAGCAATGCCAGGGGCAGAGCCAAGCCGCTGCCAACCTATTCGCTGATATCTTAAGGGGCCATGCCGTGACTAGTAGGTGAGCTCATGGACTCAACCTAAGACAATTTGCTAGCACTGGCCCTGGTAAGAGCAGTGCTTCTCTGAATCTACCACTGGATCGGAAACGCGACCCACTGAGAAGATCCGGCGCGAAACTCAGTCGCCGTGTCTATGGGTTAGTTCCCCTAAAAGCCTAGTTACTAAAAGCACCGAAAGGGAATCCTGGGGGATCCGGCAAGACATGTTGTTCGGTGATATATTACCGAACACCTTTGTCAGCATAATTCGCGTGACACGTTAACTTTAATTCCACAAATCGTCAGTGCACGATCAACAGCCGCGTCACCCGGGTGCATTCATAACATTATAGTTAACATTTCTTTGATTTACTTAATATTTTAACAATAAAATTTTTTAAGCAACATATTCTTTAAATAACAAACTCACACCGCTCCCTACATTTTGGTCCTTCGAGCCGGATGAACCAGCGACCTAATAATATGGATTCGGCGGCGATTCGGGCGACGGAGGCTTTACGTTACCCTGTCGCGGTCTGATAAGTAATTAGCTGCAGCCACGATAAGAGGGTTTTCGTGTCGCGCCGCTTTGTCGAAGTAACGTTCTGACGCTACCTTAAGATCTATTCTAAATTTAGACAATCGTGAAGGTCGACATTCCTCACGCACCACGGTGAACATATAAAGTAAATACAATATATAAAGTTATCTCTGATGTCTAAAATGAGCTCGCGGGCAACGTGTGAGGGTTGCCACCTTTAGACAACATTATATATTGTATGAGGTCTGTGCTTGGCTCCCAAACTACTCCTGTGCTCTTCTATGAAGCTATTACCGAAGAGCCGAGAGAGTTTTTCTTATTGTTTTTTATTGCTTAGTTGGGTACAGTTGCTGCCCCGCCCTTCAAACCGAAACGCAACCTGACCCCCCCCCCCAACCTACCTTCTCCCTCTTCTGTTCCTTGGTGAGAGCTCTCGCCTTGTTCGCTTCCAGATGCGTCTTCTGTCTCTTCGCAATCTGCTCCCTGACCTTGGCCTCGATCGCCGTGGGGTCCTGCACCGCTTCGGTGCCTAAAGCTCGCATCAGATTCGAGATCCTGAAACATTTCATCTTACGATGCTTTCAGAGCCTTTCTTTCCTGCAGACTAGAGATGAAACGGATAGTGGTTTAGCCGGATACCGGGTACCGGATATTCGGCAGGCTGCAAGAGGCCGGATATTCGGCCCTTTCGGAAATATTCGTGCGCGTTGGGGTGTTGTCGCACATAACGGAGATCACGACGACGATTTGGTATTCGTTCACCACAATTTGCCACTTGTCAATTTTGAGTATTAAACAAACTAATTAATAAAACAATCACTTTTGACGTGCGATCATAAAAACTAGAGGTCCCGCAGTAGTCGAAATTCGACTATAATTAATTGGAATTGTAAGTTTATACACTATTATGATTTTATTTTATACTCCTATAATCACAAATTTCGCCTATCAAAAAATATTAATAAAGACAAACAATATTTAATCTCAATTTGACAACAGACGTCAAGAACAAAAGTTTGACAATAAATAGTATGCATGCGTGTGTGCGTCAAATACATGGTATGTAGTGTGTGTAATGTTTTCTTTATTGATTTAATGTATCTTTTATGCATAATTTTAAAAAAATATTAGTATTGTGCACTTCTTCTCTATATTCTCTATAAGTGTGGAAAATTTCATACTCCTCCGTCCGCGCAATTTCCGTAAAAAGGGGTACAAAGTTTTAGCTTCACGTGTTAATATATAGATAAAAGTTGTCCATAACCTATTGTGGTATTATTTGCCTTTTGTATAACCATGAGATTTTCTTAAATTTTACTATCCGAAATCCGGCCGAATTCCGGATAGGCCGGATACCGTATAGTTACCGGATATCAGTTTCATCTCTACTGCAGACCCTACCTCTGTTAGTGGTTCTACGAAGTGTCACGCACCTGAGCTTTGGTTCTGGTGGCGCTTCCAGTCCGAGCCTGACCTTCTCCTGCTCCTCCTTCCAAGCCTCCCGTCTGCTCTGGCGTCGCAGTTTCTTCCTCTCCTTCTTCGTCAGGAAGACCGGCATGAACGTCGGCTTGAGAGGTTCCGCTGCGAGGAACAAGTCTTCTGTTGACTATACTCCCGATCCACTAACGGTGCTTTTAGGTACCTCAAGCACCGGTCACCGTCCTCGTCGAACCCGTCGACGAGGACGGTGGTAAGATCGCTTGTGAGTCCGTGCGGGTAGGTACCACCGCCCCGCCTATTCCTGTCGTGAAGCAGTAATGCGTTTCGGTTTGAAGGGCGGGGCAGCCGTTGTAACTATACTGAGACCTCATATCTCAAGGTGGGTGGCGCATTTACATTATAGATGTCTATGGGCTCTGGTAACCACTCCACGTTGCTTCACGAGCGCTATAGCATGTCCTTCTTCAAACGAGGCTTGTGGCATTGCTGAAGTCCATGGGCGGCGGTAACCACTTACCATCAGGTGGGCTGTGTTCTCGTCCCCCTTAAGGCACCTAAAAACAAAAAAAAAGTATCGACTGACTGGGCGGCCTGAGCTGCTGCGGGTGCTCCACAAGGTTGGTGATGGCCTCCTCGTTGATGTTGTCCACTATGTCGTCCTCGCCCGTGTTGCAGGCGTCCACGCGCTGCTCGTCCGTGCGCCCATCAGCGCCGGCCCCGCGCCGCTTCGACTCCCTCTCGTCCGCCGTCATCAGGATCACGCTGTCCCACCTGCCCCCGGGACGACGGTACCAATAGTGACAGATCTCAAAAATGACAAGTGTCAAAATTGACAGGTGTCAAAAGTGACGAGTCTTCTTTTCGTTCATTAAAAGTGTACAATTTTGAAAACTATTCGAAATTGATTTAATACGCGAAATCATTTCGTATCGCCACCAGTATTTTTCTCATAAATACTGTCAAAAGAGCGTAGTTTAGTTTAATTAATTTTTTTATTATTATTTTATCTATGTTTTGACTATTAACAAAATTAGTAAATCATTTTATCTTAATTTAAAAGACAGATAATTGTAACTGGTAAAAAATAAAAAATAAATGTTGCAAAGACGATTATTAATATTAAAAATGTCACATGTTAAATCTTTAAAACACTCTCCTGTAAAATTATTAAGTTTTGAGATTATACAGTTTTAATGCGAGAAGACGACGTGTCAAAAGTGACAAATGTCAAAAGTGACAAATGTCAAAAGTGACAAATGTCAAAAGTGACAGCTGTCATTGTAGCCGCCGCATATTGTACGCGCTCGTACCGCTCGCGATCGAAGCCAAATAGCAGAACGTGCGCGCGAACTTAATGAAAAGCTCGGCGCTTGATTTGATTTTGGTTTTATTTTATTCAAAAGTCGTAAATTGATAATATTTATTTATATATATTTTTATATGTACATATATATTTATGTATATTTATTTAAGTACGGGTGTTTGTATCTATAAATATTATGTATGTTATATATACACATATGTTTAAGTAATATCACTATCACACCACACTCACCAAGGTTCATCTCAAGAATGCCTATGGCATTAAGTCCGCCTTTATACTGTCTAGTATATAAAGTTATAAATAAATAAAATAAATAATCTCAAACACAAACAAACACACAAAGCGCAGTACCCACTCGTCTATTTATATTAATGTGGAGTTCGCTCAGAGTAAAATTGCGCAGTGTTTTTGGAAAAGTAACAAAATATATTCAGTAGATTGGGGGGAATCGAATTCCAACACAAATTTTAAGCGGTTTCTCTTAAGGTAATACCAATAAAATAGAGATTAAAATGGTTCCGAATACTTAAATTTTCATATACGCCGCATTATTATACATAGTTCATTGAAAAATATACACAAAACTTTAAAAACCAGCTTCACCTGATTCACTTTGGCTTTTGATGTGAATCGGGTCACCTATGGAGACAATAGAGTTTTTCGATAGGGCTGGCACTGTTTAGTTGTTAGATAGGTACTACCCACCTTTAGGTAATTAATTTTTCAATATCAATTACAAAAAAACTTTGATAACGATATACCAGTGTGAACGTGTTATCTAAGCTCCTCCCTAGAATTATGACTATGTTGTTTAGGGGTACCGAAAGGGGTCAGGTCCCCCGGGGGGTTGGGAGGGGGGCTCACCATTCCACGTCGGGGGGTCCGTCGGCGTCGGGCGCGTCGGCCGCCAGCAGCGCTAACCTGGTGGCGGACGAGATGCCGGTCTTCCGCGCTATCTGGGATATCTCGTTCTGCAGCTTCTCCAGTTGCGCCTGGGGAGAGGGGGGGAGGGACTTTCATTGTCACATCTGACTTTAAGCGACATGACAGCTTTATAATTTTTTATTGCTTAGATAGGTGGACGAGCTCACAGCCCACCTGGTGTTAAGTGGTTACTGGAGCCCATCGACAACTACAACGTAAATGCGCCACCCACCTTGAGATATAAGTTCTAAGGTCTCAGTATAGTTACAACGGCTGCCCCACCCTTCAAACCGAAACGCATTACTGCTTCACGGCAGAAATAAGCAGGTTGGTGGTACCTACCCGTGCGGACTCACAAGAGGTCCTACAACGAGTAAGGTTCTGAACATCTTGTGGGATTTTGTTGTACAGGCGCACAGACAAACACCTGAATGAATTTCGTATCTTATGTAACCTACTCATCGGCACAACAAGCTTGTGTTTGTTCATCAATCATGAAGGGATCCTGTAATTGGGGCACTAATCATGAAGAGATCCTGTGGTGAGTCGAGGAGTTGTCAAGACGGAGTACCTTCATCCTGAGCCTCTCGGCCATCTGGCGGAACTTGCCGGGCTCGTGGAAGCGCAGGGGCCGCTTGGCGCGCGCGTGGGGGCGCGAGGACACGCGCGGGTCCACCCAGCGGGACGACTCCGGACCCACCTCCTCAGTGGGACCGGACAGCTGGGCTTTGAACTCTTCGCGTCTCTTCGCTCTAATGTTCGCCTGGAAATCGAATTATTGGGGGGGACCAGCTCACGGCCCAGCTGGTGTTAAGTTACTGGAGCCTATAAACATGTTGGGTCTCTATAATAAGACACGTGTCCAGTTAAGTGACTAACGTATATTGGGATTACAACCTAACGTGCTATCGACGGCCCGACAATCCCGAGACTGACGTAGCATCATTGCAATATAATTACCGCTAACACATACATATAACTGTTAGTTGCTATGAGGACATTTGTAGTCCCTACAGACATCTACAACATAAATACCGCCACCCACCTCGAGATATAAGTTCTAAGGTCTCAGTATAGTTACAACTGTTGCCCCGCCCTTCAAATCGAAACGCATTACTGATTCACGGCAGAAATTGGCAGGGTGGTGGTACCTCCCGCGCGGACTCACAAGATGTCCTACCAGCAGTATCGCAATGCCATACAATTGAGAGCTTGGTTCCAATGCTCTGAGATCACAACTAGACATACTCATCAGAACATTTTTTATAACTTCGAAAACATGCACTTAAGTTTCAGTATTATGGCACATCTGCCCCACCCCTCAAACTGGAAGGCCTTACAGATTCCCTACAAAGATAGGCAGAGGGCGTCCCCCACCCGTGCGGGCTCACAGGGGCTCATAAGGCCCTACCACTAGTAATAGCATTACATTAAACCGATCAAAAGTTAACTAGTAACAAAGTGTCTCAATAAGATTCTCGGGGTACCCTCAACTATCAAGATACCAAAGGTCTTATTTTTTTAATTATTTTTCAATTTATAGCTTAGATGGGTGGACGAGCTCACGGCCAACCTGGTGTTAAGCGGTTTCTAGAGCCCATGGACAACGCAAATGCCGCCACCTTGAGATATGAGTTCTAAGGTGTCAGTTTTTACTAGTTAGGCGATGGTACCTACCCGTGCCGAATCACAGCGTGTTCTACTACCAGTAACCACCGCTCTACGGAATTGTTTGAGATGATACCATCGTCTCGTTTTTACCATCGCACCGCCTGCCACCGGAGTAGAGTTCATCCATACTACCTGGAGCCACTGCGGTCATCCACAGTGCGTTTCCAGAAGTCTTTTTTGCCACGTACCATCCGGCTATGGAATGAGCTCCCCTCCACGGTGCTTCCCGAGCGCTATGACATGTCCTTCTTCAAACGAGGCTTGTGGAGAGTGCTTAACGGTTGACAATGGCTTGGCTCTGCCCCTGGCATTGCTGACGTCCATGGGCGACGGTAACCACTCACCATCAGGTGGGCCGTATGCTCATCTGCCTACAAGGGCTATAAAAAAAATGTAAAAAAAACGTTGGCTAGTATACCTGAAGCGTGGGAGCCACGTGGGTCAGTTGAACTATCCTGCCCGTGGTGTCCACGGTGCGACCCTCACGGTCCAAGATCAAGGGGGCGGGCCCCGAGCCCGGCGTCGATGATAAGGCACCCCCTGACAACGAAACGTCTTTTATTGCATAACCAAGCACAGAAAAAGTCTTTATAATTTGTTATAGACACAAATTGATTATATTTTATCAATTATCAAAAACGCGATATATCAAAAAGCGTGGGGTGCTTTTCAGGATATTATCAAAATAATCCTTCTACTCATATCTGTTCATTTAATAATATATAATCATAATTATATATACATATATATATAATCATAATTAATTCATAAAATATTTATTACTACTGATACCATGCACCCCACGCTTTTTTTACAATAAAATATTTTTTTCTTATACTATTTTTAATACAAATTTATTAAAATTTATTTTCAAATTTTTAGTTGGATTTTCTATAAAGGCGTATTTTGTTAGTTTTTTTTAAACTATTATTTATTTTTCATTTTTTAGTTGAATTTCAATTTTTTTAATTATAATTTTTTCATATTGAATTGTCATCGGTCCTTAATAAGTATACCAAATTGCCAGTTAATCCGACGTTTTGAAGGGGGTCAAAATCATGTTCAAAGATTCCGTTACAAACATACTAACATACGTCTGAAGTTAATAAAAGCGTATTAAAATGTAGGATAGGTAATATGTTAATGCCATCTACACGAGCAATGAGACACTAATCGAAACGAAGCCATCTAGTGGCCGACGCCCGTAGACATTTTTGTTGAGTTATTGAGTTGCTTATCTATAACGAAGTAGTGGTCCCGCAGTAGTCGAAATTCGACTATAATGTCAAATGAAATTATATTTTTAAACAATATTATAGTTCTATTGTCAAATACTATTATATTTCTATAATATGATCACAGATATCGCCAAAACATACACTATATATAAATAACATTAAAGACAAACAATATTAATCTATTCGGAATTTGACCACAGACTTTAAACATTAACAAAAGTTTGACTATTGACAATAAACAAAGAGTATATTTATAATATGTATGGTGTGTGTGTGTCAAATACATGGTAAAATAAAAATAAAATATATATATATATATATTTAAAATAAAAATAAAAATCTAATATTAAAAAAAAAACAAAAAAAAAAACATGCCCGCTGAGTTTCTTGCCAATTCTTCTCAGGACGGAGGCTAATTCTTGTGAATTGGCGGTAATTCTTTTGACGTTCAATAAGTATGTACTTTCATTTATGTTGAATAAAACTTTTTTTATTTGATTTGATTTGATTTGAAATAAATAAATAAATATTTACTAACAATCACGCCACGTTAACTGGTTTTTATTATACACATACATATATTTAATATACATCCATAACCCTGGAAAAGACATTTATATTTATCATACAAATATCTTCCCTTGGCGGGATTCGAATCCGCAACCCCCTTGTGTAGTGACCATGTCACTTACCACTACACCTGACGGCCGTCAAACGGTAGTATGTGTAATGTTTTTTTTATTGATTTAATGGATAATTTTTAAAAAATATTAGCGTTGTGCACCCCTTTTCTATATTCCCTATAAGTGTGGGTAATTTCATACTCCTCCGTCCGCACTATTTTCGTAAAATGGTGCACAAAGTTTTTGCTTCACCTATTAATATATATAGCTTTGTGTGTATTATCTATGAGGAAGGTAACAAGGTACAGATATGTACTAGGTATATGATAGTTCACAATACCTTTACATTATTAATGATCGGTGAGGTGCAAATACCTGCAAGTTTCCGCTGTATCCTTGCTTGCAGCTCGGCTATCTTCCTTTGCTTCTCTAATTCTTCGCGTGATAACGGCAAAGTTTCTGTAAGAAAAACCGGTTGTCTGTAAAGTCGGTTTACTGACGATAGTTGAACGTGACAACGTCATAAGAAAATACTGATGGAATGGTTTCATTTTTCAATAATTATCATTGCTATAAACAATTGAGACCACATTCACTTTTCACTGAACTTCATACTTGACGAAAACATGTAAATGTATTATTGTATAGCAGCTGTCCACGCGGATGCATCGCTCACTCAAGTAGAAGAGAGACAGATGTCGAACGCTGCCGAACGCGGAGGCCGATTGTGCCTCTTTGTCGCTCGTTGCGCGCTCTCGCTTGCACTTCAAGCCTTAAATGGAACGCCTCAGAGCGAGGTAACGCCGCATGAGTCATGTTTTTTCGTGCGTGCAGCCGGCTCCATCGAATTATAAGACGTTGTCACGTCAAAATTATATGTATAATATATTATAGTCTTATAGTGTAAGTTGATGTACAAAATAATATGTGGGTATTGTGTTCCTTTTGTTTTTTTGTAACTCTGAAATTTCTATATTTCTCTTCTCTGTTCACTTTCTACATTTATATGTGATTTTGATTGTGGAAACATATTTGATTATTGTTTTAGCTATTTTTTTTAAAATATTATATGTTTGTATTGTACAGTTTGTTTCCCAAATAAATAAATAAATACGTGTAATACATATTATGTCATGTACAATTCCCAACTGTTATGTATTTTGCTCCGGTTATATGGCTTTTGAATCATAACAGTTGGAAGAAATATGTAATTCGAGCAAACAAATTACTGATTTTGATCTTTAGTGAATTTAATTTAATGCGTATCCGAGTCACTTGATTCTCTGTCTTTTGATTCTTTACGTAGAGAGAGTGGGTCGGAATCAGTAGAGCAGCAGAGAACCGTCCCTGTATCTTGTAAACTAAGTTTTTTTTTTTCTACCTAAGCTGATAGTCTTGAGAGGCTATTTCAGCGTAACCTTAATTAGTAGGTGAGCTCACGGGGCTCAAACCTGATGACGTTGCTAACACGAACCCTAGCAAGAGCAGTGCTTCGCAGAATCTACCACCGGATCGGAAACGCCATACACTGAGAAGATCCGGCGAGAGACACAGTGGGCTGTGTCTGTGGGTTCATTTACTCGTCGAGCCCTTCGTCGCAAGCGACGTGTTCGACGAGAACGATGACCGGTGTTTGGGGTACCTAAAAGCACCGTTAGTGGATCGGGTGGATCCGAAATGACGTGTTTTGGGCGACGTCCACTGATTTCCATTCTGTCCGCAGGATCGGCTATGTGGTTACAGGCGGCCACGATGAGAGGGTTCTCGTGTCGTGCCGCTTTATCGAAATGGTGTGGAGAAGCAATGTAAAGTGTAACACTAGTCTTCAGGTCATCGACCCCGTGAGCGGATTTGTGTTACATTGCGCAGTACGATTGCAATCGCGATTTTACTAACAAATCCGAATAGCTTTTTACTGGTTGTAGGACCTCTTGGGAGTCCGCGCGGGTAGGTATCACCACCCTGCCTATTTCTGCCGTGAAGCAGTAATGCGTTTCGGTTTGAAGGGTGGGGCAGCCGTTGTAACTATACTTGAGACCTTTGTGGTGGTCCGTGTAGCGGGAGATACGGGTTGTCCCGGCGTGTTCCAGAATATATCCCAAATTAAACACTCCACCAACAGTTAATAGTTTGTATTTGGTAAGAAGCACAAGCACAGGGAAGCAGAAAGAAGAAGTGGATAATTAATTATAAGTTCAAAATGATAAAATAAATTTTCTGGCGGTAGAACGATTGTTATTAATATTATAGCAGTGTCACATGCGTCGCAAGCGAAAGCGTGGTGCGGACTGGCGGGCGGGAGGTGACGTGACCGGCCGTCGTACGAGTCGAGCTTTTTACGTTTTGTTTATGCACATTACACCGTACGATTTTTTTGCATGTCTGCCACTGTGTGGAGGACGCCACACCACTCCCCTCCAGAGACCGTCCTACGGGCGNTCATGAAGGGATCCTGTAATTGAGGCACTAATCATGAAGGGATCCTGTAATTGAGGTACTAATCATGAAGGGATCCTGTAATTGAGGTACTAATCATGAAGGGATCCTGTAATTGAAGTACTAATCATGAAGGGATCCTGTAATTGAGGCACTAATCATGAAGGGATCCTGTAATTGAGGTACTAATCATGAAGGGATCCTGTAATTGAAGTACTAATCATGAAGGAATCCTGTAATTGAGGTACTAATTATGAAGGAATCCTGTAATTGGGGCACTAATCATGAAGGGATCGTGTGGTGAGTCGAGGAGTTGTCAAGACGGAGTACCTTCATCCTTAGCCGTTCAGCCATCTGGCGGAACTTGCCGGGCTCGTGGAAGCGCAGGGGCCGCTTGGCGCGCGCGTGGGGGCGCGAGGACACGCGCGGGTCCACCCAGCGGGACGACTCCGGACCCACCTCCTCAGTGGGACCGGACAACTGGGCTTTGAACTCTTCGCGTCTCTTCGCTCTAATGTTCGCCTGGAAATCGAATTATTGGGGGGGGGACCAGCTCACGGCCCAGCTGGTGTTAAGTTACTGGAGCCCATAGACATGTTGGGTCTCTATAATAAGACACGTGTCCAGTTAAGTGACTAACGTATATTGGGATTACAACCTAACGTGCTATCGACGGCCCGACAATCCCGAGACTGACGTAGCATCATTGCAATGTAATTACCGCTAACACATACATAGTTGCTATGAGGACATTTGTGGTCCCTACAGACATCTACAACATAAATACCGCCCTTGAGATGTAAGTTCTAAGGTCTCAGTATAGTTACAACGGCCGCCCCGCCCTTCTAACCGAAACGCAGTACTGCTTCACGACAGGAATATGCAGGGTGGTGGTACCTCCCGCGCGGACTCGCAAGAGGTCCTACCACCAGTAAGAAAACGCTTGCTGGTATACCTGAAGCGTGGGAGCCACGTGGGTCAGTTGAACTATTCTGCCCGTGGTGTCCACGGTGCGACCCTCACGGTCCAAGATCAAGGGGGCAGGCCCCGAGCCCGGCGTCGATGATAAGGCACCCCCTGACAACGAAACGTCTTTTATTGCATAACCAAGCACAGAAAATAAAAATAATAATAATAAATCATACAAGTCTTTATAATTTGTTATAGACACAAATTGATTAAATTTTATCAATTATCAAAAATGCGATATATCAAAAAGCATGGGGTGCTTTTCAGGATATTATCAAAATAATCCTTCTACTCATATCTGTTCATAAAATATTTATAACTACTGATACCATGCACCTCATGCTTTTCTATCTTTTTGTTGGATTTTCTATAAAAGCTTATTTTGTTAGTTTTTTTAAACTATTATTTATTTTTAATTTTTTGGTTGAATTTCAATTTTTTCAATTTTTTTTTCATATTTTTTTTTAATATTGAATTGCCATCGGTCCTTAATAAGCATACCAAATTTCGAGTTAATCCGACGTTTTGAAGGGGGTCAAAATCATGTTCAAAGATTCCGTTACAAACATACATACGTCTGAAGCTAATAAAAGCGTATTAAAATGTAGGATAGGTAATATGTTAATGCCATCTACACGAGCAATGAGACACTAATCGAAACGAAGCCATCTAGTGGCCGACGCCCGTAAACATTTTTGTTGAGTTATTGAGTTGCTTATCTATAACGAAGTAGTGGTCCCGCAGTAGTCGAAATTCGACTATAATGTCAAATGAAATTGTATTTTTAAACATTATTATAGTTCTATTGTCAAATACTATTATATTTCTATAATATGATCACAGATTTCGCCAAAACATACACTATATATAAATAACATTAAAGACAAACAATATTAATCTATTCGGAATTTGACCACAGACTTTAAACATCAACAAAAGTTTGACAATTGACAATAAACAAAGAGTATATTTATAATATGTATGGTGTGTGTGTGTCAAATACATGGTAAAATAAATAAATAAATAAAATAAATAAATAAATAAATAAATATTTACTAACAATCACGCCACGTTAACTGGTTTTTATTATACACATACATATATTTAATATACATCCATAACCCTGGAAAAGACATTTATATTTATCATACAAATATCTTCTTGGCGGGATTCGAATCCGCAACCCCCTTGTGTAGTGACCATGTCACTTACCACTACACCTGACGGCCGTCAAACGGTAGTATGTGTAATGTTTTTTTTATTGATTTAATGGATAATTTTTAAAAAATATTAGCATTGTGCACTCCTTTTCTATATTCTCTATAAGTGTGGGTAATTTCATACTCCTCCGTCAGCGCTATTTTCGTAAAATGGTGCACAAAGTTTTTGCTTCACATATTAATATATATAGATTTGTGTGTATTATCTATGAGGAAGGTAACAAGGTACAAATATGTACTAGGTATATGATAGTTCACAATACCCTTAGATTATTAATGATCGGTGAGGTGCAAATACCTGCAAGTTTCCGCTGTATCCTCGCTTGCAGCTCAGCTATCTTCCTTTGCTTCTCCAATTCTTCGCGTGATAACGGCAAAGTTTCTGTAAAAAAAACGGTTGTCTGTAAAGTCGGTTTACTGACGATAGTTGAACGTGACAACGTCATAAGAAAATACTGATGGAATGGTTTCATTTTTCAATAATTATCGTTGCTATAAACAATTGAGACCACATTCACTTTTCACTGAACTTCATACTTGACGAAAACATGTAAATGTATTATTGTATAGCAGCTGTCCACGCGGATGCATCGCTCACTCAAGTAGGAGAGAGACAGATGTCGAACGCTGCTGAACGCGGAGGCCGATTGTGCCTCTTTTTGCACTTCAAGCCTTAAATGGAACGCCTCAGAGCGAGGTAACGCCGCATGAGTCATGTTTTTTCGAGCGTGCAGCCGGCTCTATCGAATTATAAGACGTTGTCAAGTCAAAATTATATGTATATATTAAAGTTTTATAGTGTAAGTTGATATACAAATTAATATGTGGGTATTGTGTTCCTTTTGTTTTTTTGTAACTCTGAAATTTCTATATTTCTCTTCTCTGTTCACTTTCTACATATATATGTGATTTTGTTTGTTGAAACATATTTGGTTATTGTTTTAGGTAATTTTTAAAAAGATTATATGTTTGTATTGTACTGGTTGTTAAATAAATAAATAAATACGTGTAATACAGAACTTTTTACTGATGGTAGGACCTCTTGTGAGTCCGCGCGGGTAGGTACCAACACCCTGCTTATTTCTGCCGTGAAGCAGTAATGCGTTTCGGTTAGAAGGGTGGGGCAGCCGTTGTAACTATACTTGAGACCTTCAAACTTATATCTCAGGTGGGTGGCGCATTTGCGTGATGTCTATGGGCTCCAGTAACCAATTAACACCAGGTGGGCTGTGAGCTCGTCCACCCATTTAAGCAAAAAAAAAGCTTTTTTTTGGTCAGGAGGACATCGTCGGACTTCCGCCCTCCACTGGTGATGGAGGGCGGGGCATGTCGGAGTTCGGACCGGTGCTTGAGGTGTAAACTGAGACTTACCAGGCTTTGAATAGAGTACAGGTTTGATTACACTCGGTGGGGGTATCGCATTGTTCTGCTGCATCTGCACTTTCAGGTGTTGGGCCGCAGCCACCGCAGCATTAACACTCGGTTTGGTCTCAACCCCCTTCAGCACTTGAAGAGCTCTCTTGCGTTCCTCTATCTCTTTCTGAGCGTTGGCCATCATTAACTGGAACGGATAAAATCTAATTTACATAGACTGTCATTTGGTCTTGACACAAAATTTCTGCGTTTTGTTTTCATTGCCTGAGCAGGCAGACGAGCATACGGCCCACCTGATGGTGTTAAGTGGTTACCGGAGCCCATAGACATCTACAAAGTAAATACCGCCACCCACTTTCAGATGAGTTCTAAGGTCTCAGTATAGTTACAACGGCTGCCCCACCCTTCAAACCGAAACGCATTACTGCTTCACGGCAGAAATAGGCGGGGCGGTGGTACCTACCCGTGCGGACTCACAAGAGGTCCTACCACCAATAATATGTGTAATAATAAATGTGTTAGAAAATGGAATCTTCAAACATATCCAATCAGGTGGTATATTTTAAAACTGTTATGTGCATATGACTGGTGGCTAGCAGGTTTGATCATCCAACCACAATGAGGAAGTCAATAACACATACCTTAATCCTGTCTGCACTCAGGATAGCCATCTTCGATCCTGGAGTCTCTCCTTCGGGAATAGCGGGAAGATCATCAGTTCCATTCTTTTCCTCCACATCTTTTTTCTCCACATAAACTTTCTCCTCTTGTTTTGAATCTTCGTACCGGGATCTCTTACCATCTCTGTCTCTATCACTCTCATGTTTCCTTTTCGATGAAGTTTTTGATGACGTTATCAGTTCCTGGGCCAATGCTATGACCTTATCGGTTAGTTTGCTTGCCTTTTTGGAGTCTATGTGCGATGAAAGTCGGTCAATAATTTTTCTACGTTCATATCTGAAATATGAAGAACAATTTTCTTAGTTACTAGTGGTAAGGTATGTCAAGGAATACAAAGCTGATGCTTTTTTAAGATTTTCAGCAAGTGTAGTGTAGTAATATTAGAATATTAATATCATTTATCATTTGAAACATAAAATCAAAGTTACCATCTCATTTGTACAAATATTCAAAATTATAAGTTTGCAATAATGAGGTATAATATTATAAGTCAGCACAGGTAGGCATCGCAATGCTGACTATTTTTGCCCCAAATTAATAATACATTCCGGTCTGGAAGATGGAATAGCTGTACAACCTTCAACCTTTTTTTAATGCCCTTGGAGGCAGACACAACGAGCAAGCAGCCCACTTGATGGTCACCGGGTACCGTTGCCCATGGATGATGTAATACCAATAATAGAGCCAAGCCGCTGCCTATCATATGTAATCTTGACAAGTCTTGTTTAAAGAAGGACATCTCATAGTACATGGGAAACACCAGAGAGGGGATTCCAAAGCCAGAAAATCTCATACCATACGAGTTTTAGGTCAATGAGGCACAGTGAACATTAATGTCTGTTCTTTAATAACTTAGAAATTGAGTAAATAGCTGTTTTCATAAGTCAATATTTTTATATATCTATGCTTGAAAGGCAAACGTGACTTTCGGTTTGAAGGGTGAGGCAGCCGTTTAACCATACTCGAGACCTCAGAAATTATATCTCAAGGTGGGTGGCGCATTTACGTCGTAGATGTCTATGGGCTCCAGTAACCACTTAACACCAGGCGGGCTGTGAGCTCGTCCATCTAGCAATAAAAATAAAAAATAAAGATATTTGATTATTTCAAATTCTGTTTGTTTACTCTTCAACTAGCAAGCTCACCCGTTCGTCAAACACGACGAAACAGTCGATAGAATTGAGTTATCCGATTTTCCTATAGTCCTGTATATGGCACGGTCTATTGACGACCGGAGTTCCTCCACCTCGCGTCGGGACAACTGAAGTGCCATATCGTCACAACAACTCAACAGAACGAAGCCAAACAAAAATATATATCTTTAGCTGTTTTTTAGGTTAAGTTTGACAATTTATATTCTAGCTTTTTATTCAATAGCACGTAATATATTTCGGTTTAACTTAGATTAACACTTTTTTGGATTACATTTTATTGGTAATTTGTTAATAATAATACATTTTTATTTAAGTCTATTTCTGTTACTAATTCATAGATTATACACTTAATTGTACTAATTACTATGTATTCCGTCAAAATTTCGCTTTGACACTTTTGCGTTCATATGACGTTGACGTAAATGTACCAATCAAAAAATTCAAAATTTAGTTAACTAAGCTTTGCGATGTTAGTTAAAATTAATAGTGTAAATATTTATGATAAACAGCAATTTTCGTAACCGACACTTATATAGCAAAACCGCATCATTCCCGGTTGAGTATGTGGTGGCCGGTTCTGGTAATACTAGAAAGGTTTCACCAAACCCTTTGTCCAAGATGTGTAAGAGCATTTCGCCAGTGATCAATATACACATACCTCTATTGTACTCATAGTCACCAGCTTGAAGCTGCCATTGATAACTATCGTTGCAGTTGGCTTAACTGCTCGAGCAGTTGGCAATTTGGATTACATAGTTTATAATTCCATTTATGTTCTTACATTTTCAGCACTTATGACGTAGCTGGTAACTATATACCCAATCCTACGGATCAAACGGTAAACAGTCGCCGTCGCCCTAAGCCCTAATCTCAGATTCTGCTCTTGCTAGGGACAATGTTAGAAATTTTGCCAGGTGTGAGCTCACCTACTCGTTTGGTGAATCAAGTACGAACCTTCGAGGAAAAGAAAAAGAAGAGGATAGTGTAGACGATTATGCTTCTATAAATAATAAATTAGACCGCATGATGCGATTTCTTCGTCATTTCGATTAGAAAAATAAAACCAATACCAAGTTTGACTTCTGACATTAGTGACTTTAAGCTATAGATCGACTTGTTGTATTTACGACAATTTGCGTTAAAAACAGGAAATTTTAAACGGAAATCTTAAACAACATAATATATAATTATTATTAGTGTATATTTGCATTTCAATACAGTAAAAACAAAGTTTTTAAGTTCCTGACTGAGACAAAAATAAGGTTTTTAAAGCCTTTGATCAGAACCAAAACATAACCTATTAATATAATCGGCATTTATTTTAGCTTATTTATGTTAATTATTAATGAAAGTCGAAGTTTAATCAAAACAAAAAACCACAATGTCTGATGACGAAGATATCGCGTATCTAAAGAAACAGAAGCAGGTACATTATGGGTCGCTGGAAGAACAGGAAAAGGCGAGACTAGCAGCCTTAGCTGCAGCCGCCAAAGAGGGAGCAGAGGACCCCGGCGGCAAAGAACTAGGAGACATACAAATATCTAACGGTAAAGCCTTATTAATACGCTTTTATTAGCTTCAGACGTGTGTTAGTATGTAACGGAATCTTAGAACATGATTTTGACCCCCTTCAAAACGTCGGATTAACTCGAAATTTGGTATACTTATTAAGGACCGATGACAGTTCAATATTAATAAAAAATTGGAAAAAAAATATTGAAGAAATTGAAATTCAACTAAAAAATGAAATATAAATAATTATTTTAAAAAAAAACTAACAAAATACGCTTTTATAGAAAATCCAACTAAAAAATAATAAATAAATTTGAATTAAAAATAGCGTAAGAAAAAATTTTCTTATTGTAAAAAAAAGTGTGGGGTGCACTATATCAGTAGTTATAAATATTTTATGAACAGATAAAGTACAAGGGTTATTCTAATAATATCCTGAAAAGCAACCCATGCTTTTTTTACAATAAAATATTTTTTTTTACCCTACTTTTAATTCAAATTTACTAAAATTTATTTTCTATTTTTTAGTTGGATTTTCTATAAAAGCGTATTTTGTTATTTTTTTTAAACTATAATTTTTTTTCGGGTTGTTGTTCAAAGACTTAATGACTTCACTGATGTTAGAATGTCTTGTGAGCCCGCACAGGTAGGTACCACGACCTGTTTATTTCTGCCATGAAGCAATGCGTTTCAGTTTGATGAGTGAAGCGGCCATTGTATTGTAAAATTGGGATTTGGAACTCATTTCACAAACTAGGGTGCTGCATGGTTGTCTATGGGCTCCGGTAACCACTTAACACCAAGTAGGGCATGAACTCATCCACCCTTCTTTCTTCTCGCTTCGGTTTCCTCAATACTGAGGGTCGTGACCACCCAACTAAACAATAATAAAAAAATACTTGGAGTGCTTGTGTGTAGTAAGTGTTTATTGCTAGTTGTATTGACAGTTGCGACTTCAATTGCTCAAGTTACATCAAATAGCAGCATTCTGGTTGTGAACACCAATCTCCACTTCACACTAGGTGACCGTGAGCTTTATCCGTTGATTGAAATAATAATAAAATTCTGTCGTAAATTTCATTATTGTTAATCGCCAAATATGCTCAGTTAGCCTTAGATGAACCGCTGAGTGTTTAATATTTACTGTCTGACAGAGGATACAATTTTTTAAATCAGAATGTTTTTTTTTTTCCGAATGCAGTTTCTAAATCACGAAGAATCAGCAAGATACCCAATGCTTGTTATCTTATGACTGTGCAACAAGTTGCAATAATTGTTATTTATTCTGACAGAGTATATGGAGTTAGAAGAAGAAATATCCAGAGATAAGAAGGCACTACTTGAAGAGTTTGAGAGGAGACGCAAAGCAAGGCAACTGAATGTGTCCACTGATGATGATGAGGTACTGTTATGGGATGGATCCAGGAGCTCTTTTTAAAAAAGGAAACTGTGACTGGCACTGAGTTAATTTTATAAAATATATTATAATATAATTTTATATATAATATAATTTTATAATATAATTTTTACTGGTGGTAGGACCTCTTGTGAGTCCGCACGGGTAGGTACCACCACCCTGCCTATTTCTGCCGTGAAGCAGTAATGCGTTTCGGTTTGAAGGGTTGGGTAGCCGTTGTAACTATACTGAGATCTTAGAACTTATATCTCAAGATGTGTGGCGCATTTACGCTGTAGATATCTATGGGCTCCAGTAACCACTTAACACCAGGTGGGCTGTGAGCTCGTCCACACATCTAAGCAATAAAAAAAAAAGAAAAAAAAGAAATAGTAGTACAAACAATGTGTGTTTCCGCTACTCAAGCCAAATCTGTTCTGCCGCACTTTAGCAATAAATTGTCTTTGTATAGAGACGATGCATTCAAGAATGCCTTAGTCTGCATTATTATTTATATTGCACTAGCTGACCCGGCAGACATTGTAGTGCCTCAATCGATATATAAAAGACTTAAACTTTTGTATAAAATAAACTTAAAACAAACAAAAGGAATCCGTCCGACGGGGGACACATCAAAACAAAATTGGTATTTTTATTTATTTCCGAGCATTTTCATATTTATCTACCTTTTAAACCTTCTCTGGACCTCCACAAGTAATTCAAGACCAAAATTAGCCAAATCGGTACAGCCGTTCTCGAGTTTTAGCAAGACTAACGAACAGCAATTCATTTTTATATATAGAGATTATTGAGGGGCATATGTAACAGTTTTTTTTTTTTTTTTTTTCGGGCCGTGAAGGGAGGTCCCGTTGCTTTCCCCATGAAAAATAGCAAAAATGCAGTTTTTTTTAATCCAATCAAGGTGTGCCAATCATTATATTGTATTCGCGTCTGTTGTTCCCAGGTAAGGAGAAGCTTACGGCAGTTGGGTGAGCCTGTATGCCTGTTCGGAGAGGGACCGGCCGAGAGGAGAGTCAGATTAAGGGATTTATTAAGCTAGTAAGTCAAGTGTAATATACATATCGACGCTTGAAAGGCAAACGTGACTAAGCGACAATGCGTGAACTTTACAGTAGACTAATTTAAAGTTGAAATACCTGAAAAAAATGATATTTTAACGAATCTGTAGGATTGAAATGATTTTAATAGACCTAGAAATATATATATTTTTTGCGCATCGAATATGGTTATTGCCTATCATTTATGTACAAAGCAGTTATTGTTGCTTAGTCACGTTTGTCTTTCTAGCTTCGATATGTGAGCCTTTTATTATTTGTTTATCTCGATTTGCTAATGGCGTTTCTGGACTGTGAATCATGTCTTCCCCAAGCCAACGTGATGGTCTCATAGACAATCGGTAATCTGAAGCGACTGACTATTTTCTGGGGCAGCTGAGTTAGTGCTCAAGATGTCTCTGCTGACCGCAATCAAATAAGTAATAGTTTAAAAAACTAAACAACACGCTTTATATAAAATTCAACTAAAACATAGTAAATTTATTTTAATAAATTTAAATTGAAAATAGTGTAAAATATATTTTATAGTAAAAAAAGCGTGGGGTGCATGGTGCTATTAGTTATAAATATTTTTCTGACAGATATGAGTAGAAGAATTATTTTTTGAAATATAATATCTTAAAAAACACCCCACGCTTCTTTTTAAATAAAATATATTTTACACTATTTTCAATTTAAATTTATTAAAATTTATTTTTACAATTTTTTTGTGGAGCTAATATAAAGCGTGTAAAAAGACGCAATTTCCTGATGTTGAATTGTGAAGAAATTCCTATTCACCATATCATGGTGATCAGCATTTGGTAATAACGTGTAATACTAAAACAAATTGATAAATTTAAAAATGAATTAATTGTTCAATTTGAAAGATTAAACTAATACTAGATGATGACCGAGCTTTGCTAATTTTTTTTTTTTGATAACGCCATCTTGTTGTCTTTAAAGAGGTTAGTTACCCTCAATTAAAAAAAATTTATAAGATTTCCCTGTCTTCATTTGGCTTTGATATTTTCAGTCTCGGCGAAGATGCTATCAATAAGAAACTAGAGGAGGAAGAAGCACGCCTGGAAAGAGACAGAGGTAGAGAAGGTACCTGGTACCACGAAGGTCCCCCGACCTTGAGGCAAGCGAGGATTTGGATAGCCAGGTACTCCCTGCCTAACGCCAAAAAAAGGTCAGTTTGAATTTTTTTTATAGCCCTTGTACGCAGACGGGCATACGGCCCACCTGATGGTGAGTGGTTACCGTCGCCCATGGACTTCAGCAATGCCAGGGGCAGAGCCAAGCCGCTGCCTACCTTAATTCAACTCTACCCGGCTGTGATATCTTGGAGAAATCAATAATAAATTACAGTTTCCGAAGCGAAGCGAGGGCGGGTCGCTAGTTTATATTAAAATGATAATGTCAGGAAAGTTGTAACATAAATTGAAAAAGATATATAGGTACTATAGTCGACTATTATCGCACAAAACATCGCGACTCGAGCATCCGAATGAAGCGGAGCTCTCTGTTGTTATTGTTGTACACTTGCAACGTAATAAATTGAATTCATTGGAAAAATGAGTCTAATTATTGTCACTATGAAAGGCAATAGTAATGGTAAAGAGAATCGATCGTCAGCGATGCTCACGTCATCATTTTAAAAACGCCATGGAAGCACCCTTTCCGTCACATATTTTAATTATTTATTACTAGCGGTACGCTCCGGCTCCGCTCGGGTCTTTAACAAAAATTTCAACGATATTTGACGTTGTTTTATTTTTAAAAATAAAAGAACACTTATTGCGGCATAACTATAATAGTTAGACATATGCTGTCGCGACACTTTTTGTAAATAATAATGTGTTCTACAAAGTCGTAGCACATTATTTTATTCTATCATCAATAGTTTTCGCAGGGCACACGATGTAAAGGATATTTTAGGTATTTTTTTACCCCTTGGATTACATTATTGGAGTTTAGGGTAAGGGCCCCTAATTTTTTTCAAAAAAGATTATAGCCTATGTCACTCGGGAATAGTGTAGCTTCCGAACAGTGAAAGAATTTTTCAAATCGGTTCAGTAGTTTCGGAGCCTATTCAAGACAAACAAATCTTTCCTCTTTATAGTATTAGTATAGATAAAAACCTCGTAAATCAGTGTAGAGCAAGTGTACCGTTTCTAATAATAAATAAATAATTGAATATCGTATATTTTAACTCGCCTTTATTTGATTTTACTGTGACATACAAAATAATAATTACCATAAAATAGATACAATACGCTAAAATTACAAAGAAATGTCGTTTAAATCAAACCCGTCGATATATATATATATAAATCCCGGATTTATATATATAAAAATATATATATATATGTAAAAGAGTTACGGGGTTTATATATATATAAATATTGTGGATACATCTATGGACTAAACATGTGTAAGTTACTGGATTATTGTTACAGGTTAAACAAAGCCCGCGAGGAACTCAAGTTGGCTGGCAGCGTGCGCGCCGCTGCTAAGCAGGAGTCACAACGGAAGGCGTCTGCCTTTAGCATTTACTGCAGCCAGGTGAGGCCCAGGTCGTGGGAGATAGAGGGGATAGGGATAGGGCATAAGTTCCTGCCCCCCCCCTACATCTCGCAAGTGAACGCACTTCGTTGGACGGTCGTTGCTGTGGATCCTAAGGAGTTTCAGTGGTGGGAGCCTGGGGGGGGTAATATAGAACCAGGGTCAAAATGGCCGACTATGACCCTGTGACGTCACGTATCCTTGTAAATTTGAACTGGCAGACATTCTTACTAATAGAAGACTCGGTCCCATAGGCATTTGTGATGTTTTGTAACTGGGATGATGAGGGCACTGTTTATCTGTTGTTAAGTGGTTATCGAAGTCGTTTCAATTTTTTTTTTGTTCCCACCTAAGTTGGTGGTAGCCTTGAGAGGCTACGCCGGCGTAATCGGGCAAGTGAGCTCACGGGGCTCAAACTTGACGACGTTGCTAACACTGGCCCTAGCAAGAGCAGTGCTTCGCAGAACCTACCACCGAATCGGAAACGCGACCCACTGGGAGGACTCGGCGAGAAACTCAGTGGGCTGTACCTGTGGGTTAATTTACTCGTCGAGCCCTTCGTCGCAAGCGACGGGTTCGACGCGAACGGTGACCGGTGCTTGGGGTACCTAAAAGCACCGTTAGTGGATCGGGAGGATCCGTAATGACGTGTTTAGGGTGACGTCGACTGTTCACCATTCGGTCTACAGGATCGGGTATGTAATACCCGCGGCCACAACAAGAGCGTTTTCATGTCGTACCGCCTTCTCAAAATGGCGCAATAATGCCGTCTGTAGATACTTACTGAGTCAAGTTCCAGGTCATCATGGAGATCTACATTTTTTTTATTGTTTAGATGAGGTTAAGTGGTTACTGGAGCCCATAAACATCTGCGACATAAATGCGCCCCCCACCTTGAGATATAAGGTCTCAAGTATAGTTACAACGGCTGCCCCACCCTTCAAACCGACACGCATTACTGCTTCACGGCAGAAATAGGCAGGGTGGTGGTACCTACCCGCGCGGACTCACAAGAGGTCCTACCACAATTCCTTAGGAACCATGGTGCTCCAACGGGTATCCTGCAAAAACGGAACGTCTTAGTTTTTACCGGATAGGCCCACGTGATGTCGCAGTCATAAGGTTCTCGTGTCAGGGCTGTCTCGTTCCAAACCTGAGCACGTGGCTACCTCGTGGTGGTCTCAAGCGTGCGGGGCAGCTCAGCACGTCGCGCCAGAATTTCGTCCGCGATAAATCCGTGGTTCTCTTCATCAGATCGGAGACACGAGGCCGCTGAGCTTCTGCAGGTTCAGCCAGGACAGCAAGATGCTGATCACTTCGAGCTGGTGAGGGTCTTTGCTGATATTAAAGGAAGTTTACCATTATGAGACTTTTTGGCGGGAACGCGAGGAGTGAAGTTGTGTGTGTGTGTTTTTTTTTATTGCTTAGATGGGTGGACGTGCTCACGCCCACCTGGTGTTAAGCGGTTACTGGAGCCCATAGACAACAACAAGGTAAATACCGCCACCAATATTGAAATATAAGTTCTAAGGTCTTAGTATAGTTACAACGGCTGCCCTTCAAACCGAAACGCATTATTGCTTCACGGTGGAAATAGGCAGGGTGGTGGTACCTACCCGTGCGGACTCACAAGAGGTCCTACCACCAGTATTAATTATTTACTAATTCTTCTTTTTTGTCTCCACCTTATCCCACTCGGTGGGGTCGGCACAGCAAACTTTTCTCTTCCATTCTCTTCTATCAGCCGTCATCTCAACACTCACTCCTCTCTCTCTCACATATCGTCATTCACGCACTCCATCCATGTCTTCTTCGGTCGACCTCTTCCCCCTCTACCTCGCACTACCATTTCCATACATCTCCTAGTCACATGCATCTTCTCTACGCATCACTGTCCATACCAACGCTAACCTATTTATTCAGTGGTGCCTACCCGTGCGGACTCACAAGAGGTCCTACCACCAATAAATGACTCTCCTGTAAAGTTGCTAAAATGTCACTTAAACCGAAGATCCTTTCACCCCTCGACATGTATTTTGGGCTTGCAGGTCAGGGCTGGTTAAGGTCTGGTCGGTACCGGACTGCGCCCCCCTGCAGGTGCTCAAGGGCCACACTTGCAACGTGAGCAGCGCGACCTTTCACCCGAAGGCGGAACTGCCCTCGCATTTCCGGCAAAAGGTGGGTCGGAAGCTCAACTTCTCTTGGATTGGATAAGGGAAACGTCATTGGAGCTATACTTAGGATTACACGAGCGCAGTATACGTGACAGAAGTTAAACTTCTGTGACGATAAAAAATGAGAGCAGAGCGCTATTAATGACGATGCTAGTGAAGTTTTTGATGGCTGTCATAGAGCCTTGCCTTGCTAATTTAGCTGTGAAACTGAAGAATTGTTAACGACTATAATAAGTCGAATCTAAGTCATGTGAATTTTATTGCTTATTTTGGTAACTTAGGGTTTCCGTACGCGGTGCGATAGTGGCTGTCTGTGAAGAGGCAGCATTAGTTTAGGATCTGTGCAAAGTTCACAAGAGTGGAGACATGATGTGAACTGGTCTGACTTGACTGCCGAGGTTCCTCCGAAGAGTCTATTAAAGTCTCAATAAATTCCCACCATTTTATTCAGAGGTCGCGTCTAACTTCACGTGAAGCAGATTCGGCTGTACGGGCCTAGTTCCCTTTGCCGGATAAAAGTGTATAGAAAAAAAAATCCAGCAAACGTTAACTTCGCAGGTGAACGTAGCTAATGGGGACGCGATGGAGGCGGACGGCTCGGACGACGATAAGTCTGCCGTTTGCACGATGGCTTCGTGCGCGTACGACGGTACCGTCCACCTGTGGAACTTTGCGAGGTACGTGCGGCCGCGGACCCCGCGACAAACCTCTGATACCAAATATCTAGGATTACCAAGCTATCGGACTGCAGCATCGCTCATTAAAAACATCGATATTAGGAAAAAAAAAACTATTTAACTGTTTTTTAATTTTTAAATAAACTACTACTAATTGAATAAGAACTGTCTGATGAACTCATCTTTGTTTAATACTTCACTATTAAATTTTATTGCCTTTTGTTTATTTCACTTTTACACTACACACAATATTGCAAATTACCCGAGCACAACAATGGCGGAGAGCTTTAGGTGCGTGAGAGCAGACGTAGACACTAACGCGCATGCGCACTTGTCAGTACCCAGGGAAGAAAAATTTACACTTTCTTTCCTGTTCAGCGGGAGGAAAACCGAACTTTCCGCGTCGGTAGGAGAAAAATAATATTTGCCAATGATTTTTCTGTCCGAAATCGGAATTTGGGTAGCACCTCGATTGGTGATAAGGTGTCTTGTCTTGACGGGGAATCACCGTCATGCCTGACTCTGTCAAGGATCCATCAAACGTCCCGGTGTGACAGGACGACCGTATCAATGTCCCCGAAGCTCCCTCCACTGGGGGACAGGATTGAGTGAAAATGAGTGTTTGTTCGCCAGTGAATCTCCCATGGCTTCGTTGCCGGGACACAGTCCGCACCGCGTGTCCCGGGCAGAGTTCCACCCCTCGGGGCGGTTCCTCGCGACGACGGTCTTCGATCACTCCTGGAGGCTGTGGGACTTGGAGACAGGTAGGCATCCTATCCTGTCATTTTCACAGCTGGTTTAACGAGAGGATCCCACTCTTACGTAACTCTAATTTGGTCTCGAAGGTTCCCAGGGTGTGGCCAATTTCGTCTACTGTCGTCCCAAGAACCTCCATGGCCATCTAAGCCAGCGGTCGGGGAACCCGGGAAAATTACCCCGAATGGGGTAAAATGAAATGTTGGGGGGTAAAAATGAAACTTTTGTGAGTAAAAAGTATATATTGAAGTGAAACTTCTTTAGATTCGTTGTGATTTCAAATTATCATGGGGGCTATAATATGAAAGATGCTAAAAAGAAGGCATTTCGTTTTTTTTTTGTTCTTCGCCATGAGGTAAATTAAAAAAGTTCCCCGACCGCTGATCTAAACTGATATATACAAATATAGTCTTAATACATTTTAATAAACTTGCTAGTCAATTTAACTATGATTTGAATGGGAATTAAAATTGTATACTGCGTAAACAGCGACTTGGCTGTACACCCGGCATTGCTGTTGTCCATGAACAACAATGACCACTCACCGCCAGGTAGGTCGTATGCTCACCTGCATGCTATGGCAATAAAAAAAAATTGATTTTTTTTGTATGGAAACTATCGACATCTTGTAGCGGATGCCCCTAAACTTATATGTTGTTAAAGATATGGCATTTAATTATTGTATAACTAAACACTGAAAATAAAAAAATAAAAAAATTATACAAGTCCTTATTTATTATAGACAAATCGACTAAATTTTATCAATTTGTGGTTTCTGAAAATTTACAAAATCCTTCATTAAAAATAAAATATAGGATAGGTAATATGTTACTGCCATCTACAGGAGCAATGAGAAACTAATCGAAGCAAAGCCATCTAGTGGCCAACGCCCGTAAACATTTTTGTCGAGTGCTTGAGTTGCTTATCCATAACTAATTAAGTGTATTTATTATCTATGGGTTTTTGGCGGGAACGCGAGGAGTGAAAATGTGTGATTTGTTTTATTTTGTCTATGTAGTATTTCTTCAGGTTTAAATGTGTAATAACCTTGGTTTATTAGCTGCTTAGTATCTGTGAAAGTGCACGAATGTAGGAAAATGAAACAAAGCCGCTGGACGTAACTTCTCGGGATCCTCCAAAAAGTCCACTGAAAAAATCTCAGTAAATAACCACCATTTCACTGAGATTATATTCTATTCCATATCATCTTATTTCATTTAATTTCATTTCACTCCGTTTAAATTTTTTCATAAAAATAATTAAAATAAGATATGACCTAAAGGTCTTATTTACCAAGTCATAAAATCCCTTTAAAAAAAAAGAAGCGAATTAAAATGCTTTTGTTTGTTATAGCGACCGAAGTTTTGCATCAAGAGGGTCACGCTAAGCCGGTCTATAGTATAGCTTTCCAGTGCGACGGGTCCCTGGCCGTCACCGGGTGAGTGCGGGGGGACCGGAGGGATCGACCGGGTTCTTTCGATTCTCATTCTTGTACATCCGATGATTTAAGTAGATCTTGGTGTACCTATTTAGTTTCAGTTGACAGATTGGCGGTTTTTATTTTAACCGGCGGTTCTTATTATTTATTTATTTAGTTGCACCTTTTTTACCTAAGCTGATGGTTTAGAGAGACCATGTCAGCGGTTTGTAACACCAACAAAGTGATCATGATGATCATTAATACAAAACATTGACAAACTGACAAAAAAAAGTACATAGCAGATGTCACCTCAATTATACATAGGTGCTATCGACAGTGCAACAAAAATATATTTCGATGGGTGGATGAGCTCACAGCCCGCCTGGTGTTAAGTGATTACTGGAACCCATAGACATCTACAACGTAAATGCGCCACACACCTTGAGATATAAGTTCTAAGGTCTCAGTATAGTTTCAATGGCTGCCCCGCCCTTCAAACCGAAACGCATTACTGCTTCACGGCATAAATAGGCAGGGCGGTGGTACCTACCCGCGCGGACTTACAAGAGGTCCTACCACCAGTAATTACGCAAATTATAATTTTGCGGGTTTGATTTTTATCACACGATGTTATTTCTTCACCGTGGAAGTCAATCGTGAACATTTGTTAAGTACGTATTACATTAGATAAAATTGGTACCCGCCTGCGGGATTCGAACACCGGTGCATCGCTACATACGAATGCACCGGACGTCTTATCCTTTAGGCCACGACGACTTCATTAGTTTGTAAGTGGGGGTTGTGGTTCCACAGCGGCATGGACGCTTTCGGTCGAGTGTGGGACCTCCGCACGGGTCGCTGCGTGATGTTCCTGGAGGGTCACCTGGGTCCCGTGCTGGGGACGGACTGGTCCCCGGCCGGACACTGCCTCGCCACCGCCGCCGGAGACCACCAGGTGACTTGACCACCGTCCCAAGTCGTTAGGGCTTCGTCCCCCCCCATTTATGCTTTATACTACCAAGGGAAGATATTTGTATGATAAATATAAAATGTATTTTCCAGGGTTATGGATGTATATTAAATATATTATGTATGTGTATAATAAAAATCTTACATTTGTTTCCGTTATCTGGTACCTGTAACACAAGTTCTTTACGAACTTAGCATGGGACCAGTTAACGTAATCCAAACCTAGTGGATCAATGTGGTATACAAATAGAACTCTTCATATTATCACGAGTCAAAGGCACTATTTAATCTTGTTAATATGTCCTACCTATGCTGATAGCCTTGAGAGGCTGGTCTTCATGTCCCATTTATACTTTATCTAAGCCTAGTGGATCAATGTGGTGTACATACAGGACTCTTGACAATGTCACGAGTCAAACGCACTGAGAGCCTTGAGAGGCTATTTCAGCGTAACCTTAACTAGTAGGTGAGCTCACGGGGCTCAAACCGGAGTGATGCTAAAACTGGCCCTAGCAAGAGCAGTGCTTCGCTAAATCTACAATCAGATGGTGTGATCAGATCAGAATCGCGAGCCACTGGGAAGATCCGGCGAGAAATTCAATGGGCTGTCTGTGGGTTAGTTTACGGTAACCGGTGCTTGAGGTACCTAAAAGCACCGTTAATGGACCGGGAGGATCCGTAATGACGTGAAGTTGTTTACTACATTAATCTACTAAGATTGGACAATAATTCGTCTTCTCGCATTAAAACTGTATAATCTCAAAACTTACTAATTTTACAGGAGAGTGTTTTAAAGGTTTAACATTTGATGTTTTTAATATTAATCAATCATCTTTACAGCGTTTATTTTTTATTTTTTACCAGTTACGTTATCTGTCTTTTGAAGTTAGATAAAATTGTGTATTAATTTTGTTAATAGTAGTCAAAACACAGTAAACTAAAAAAAAAAAGACAGTATTTATGAGAAAAATACTAAAATGATTCCGCATATTAACTCAATTTCGATTTTTTTTTTATTGCTTAGATGGTTGGACGAGCTCCCAGCCCACCTGGTGTTAAGTGGTTACTGGAGTCCATAGACATCTGCAACGTAAATGCGCTACCCACCTTGAGATATAAGTTCTAAAGCCTCAAGTATAGTTACAACGGCTGCCCCACCCTTCAAACCGAAACGCATTACTGCTTCACGGCAGAAATAGGCGGGGCGGTGGTACCTACCCGCGCGGACTCACGAGAGGTCCTACCACCATATTAATTCAATTTCGAATATTTTTGGAAATTGTACACTTTTAATGTGAGGTGACGTTATGAAGAGATACCGCGGGTTGGCCGGACGTAGCTGATGTCTCGTGTTTGTTGCAGACCAAGATCTGGGACCTCCGGAGGCGCTCGTGCCTCTACACGGTCCCGGCTCACGCGCATCTGGTCAGCGGTAAGTATAGCGCTCGCTGTGGTCCCCTGACCGCAGTCAAATGTCCGCGATTGACTTCCGCGGTGAAGGATTTTAAATTGTGTAATTATTTTACACATTGAGTTACATTATTGGAGTTTTAGTAAGGATCCCTATTTTTTTCAAAACAGATTATAGCCTATGTCACTCAGGAATAGTGTAGCTTCCGAACAGTGAAAGAATTTTTTAAATCGGTTCAGTAGTTTCGGAGCCTATTCAAGACAAACAAACAAACAAACCTTTCCTCTTTATAATATTAGTTTAGATTCAAATTGTTCAAAGTCGTCGGTCCTTAATATGTAGACAGTTAACTATTAAGAACTTGGTTGTGGGCATGGTAATGTCAGGGTGACAGCCAAGCCTCATTGAACACGGAGTAATGTTCCTCCATCAGACGTCCGATACCAACGAAGCCACGGGCACTTTCTACTAACGGCTTCGTACGACCGGAGCGCGAAGCTGTGGTCCAACCCGGCCTGGCACCCGCTGCGGACCCTCAGCGGACACGACAACAAGGTATGACTGCTTCGTATGTTCGTTGTTGGTGGGGAACCACCCGGGGAAAAGGGGGACCGGGTTATGGATTGGGGGATAAAACACCATCTCTAGAGCGACGTGCATGGAAAGTTTTTTTTGCCCAAAAAATGTATCGTTACGCGCTGGGGTTCGGGATAAATCAAAAATTCTACCGAAATATAAATTTGTAACTTAAAACACTTAAGGAGCACTTTAAAATTCTCAATTCGCTTCAGATGATCCATTCGCTGCAGTTCTGCAGACTTCTGCATGGACTATACTAAGGATTATGCAGGAAATCTTATGAGTAGCTTAAAGTATTTTTTTATAAAAGTTAATCTGAACTTAAATTTTAACCATGAAGAAACTTAAGAAATATTTTTTTATTTTTTATTTTGTGTCCCCAATAGCTGTACTATGAGGTGTTTCAGGATTATCCATTCTTTCTGGGACACCCTGTATATATAAGACATCGTCCAAAAATCTTTGAGGTTGTTTTTTTTTTCGCAAATATTAAGAAATTTGTGTGGTCGTTGATTATTTCTCTAGAGGAGAGTTTTATTCGCGGTCAAGGGGTCCACCGTGGTCCACTAGTTTAAACATGAGCCCTGTGTGCTTAGTGCGAGAGTTTTAAGTTAGCTCATATTTGTATGGAATGGGATCGTTTGCGTACGTTTGCCGCTAGGGGCGCTGTTCCAACTGCATACAAAATTGAGTTAACTTTTACGCTATCGAGAACGTTAAAAAACTCTCGCACTAAGCACACCGGTCTGGCGTTCGACGTGTTAAAATTTATCTAATGTTATCACTACATAGTATAAAACAAAGTCGCTTTCTCTGTCCCTATGTATGCTTAAATCTTTAAAACTACGCAACGGATTTTGATGCGGTTTTTTTTAATAGATAGAGTGATTGAAGAGGAAGGTTTATATCGACGCCAACGTGACTAAGCGACAATGCGTGAACTTTACAGTAGACTAATTTAAAATTGAAATACTTGAAAAAAATTCTATTTTAACGAATCTAGCTGTAGGATTGAAATGATTTTAATAGACATAGTAATATATGTTTTTTTGCGCATCGAATATGGTTCATCATCATCATCATCATCATCATCAGCCTGCGGCAGTCCACTGCTGGACATAGGCCTCCCCCAAAGCTTGCCACTGAACCCGATCTTCGGTTTTACGCATCCAGTTACTGCCAGCTGCCTTGCGCAGGTCGTCGCTCCATCTAGCAGGAGGGCGTCCCACACTACGTTTGCCGGTTCGCGGTCTCCACTCCAGAACACGTCTACCCCAACGGTTATCGGTTCNCCTGTGTGTTTTCTCGCCTTTCTTCCATTAGCCGGAGAGTCTCGGATGATAACTTTGATGTTCTGCCTGTACGACCCTTTGGACACAGTCTCTGTCCCTCCTGTCTCAGTGTCCTCACCACGCCATCTAAGGCCTCGTCTACGTCTGTGGTGGTTTCCAAGGCAGCGAATCGGTTATGGAGATCTAGCTGGAATTGCTCCGGATCTACAGCCATGTGATGTAGGCTGGGTCGAAGCGTAGACTTTATTAGACGAGTGCGTTCTAACTTGAAGTCCATATTCAGTGTGCCTCTGACAAGTCGGTGATCACTACCGGTATTGAACCTGCTGATCACAGAGACATCCCTGAATATATGCTTCTTGTCCGTCATAATAAAGTCTATCTCGTTTTTCGTCACAGTGTCGGGGCTTAGCCAAGTCCACTTCCTTTGTGGCTTCTTTTTAAAGAACGAGTTCATTAGAAAGAGCCTCTCACGCTGAAGGAAGTTGACTAGCATTTGCCCCCTGTGGTTCCTACATCCATAACCGAAGGATCCTAGCACCGATTCGTCGCAAGTCTGTACTCCCACTTTAGCGTTAAAATCTCCCATGACAACATTGAAGTGGGCTTTTGTGGTATCGTGCAGAGCCCTGGTGATATCGTCGTACACAATCTCCACATCGTCATCCGAGTATGACGAAGTCGGTGCGTATACTTGCACCACCTTAAGAGAGTACCTTTCGGTGAGCTTAATTATGAGGTACGCTACCCGTGTCGACACACTGGATACCTCTACAATGTTGTCCGTGAGGATTTTATTGACGAGAAAGCCAACTCCACCTTGTCCAGGTTGGTCTCCTTCCCGGAAGTAGAATAGGTGGCCTGAGTCCAGAGTTATGACGTCCTCCCCCTGTCTTCGGACTTCGCACAACCCTAGTACGTGCCATCGTATCCTTCCTAATTCCGCTTCCAGTTCCTCAATATGTTCGTCAAGCCGCAGGGTCCGGGTATTGAGAGTCGCCAGGGTCATTTGGTGGTAGCTGTCCGTAGCCCGGGGATTCTTCGCACCCCCTGCCTTACCGTTACCATGACTGCTACCGTAGCCAAAGCTGCCGGGAACTGGGGGCCGTTTTTTATTTGTAGCTGCCATAAGGGGGGGTTATGCCGTAATCGCCACGCTTGGCAGGCGGGTTGGCGATCGCAGTGCTCGGTGCCTTGCACCGGTAATGCTGCTGCCCGTTACCGGCCAGGAGATTTCCGCACCGAGTGGTTTTCGTTGATGGTTATTCCGCCATCTATCGGTCACCAGAGCCCTGTTCGTCAATCAGCAGGATGCACCACGTGCAGGTAGGGTTGGCATTTGAGACAGTGTGGTGTTAATTTGCCCCATTACATCCCATACATCGAATATGGTTATTGCCTATCATTTATGTACAAAGCAGTCATTGTCGCTTAGTCACGTTTGCCTTTCAAGCGTCGATATGTATAATAACATCCATTAAATAGTGGAGAAATCAATAATAAATAACAGTTTCCGAAGCGAAGCTAGGGCGGGTCGCTAGTTTATTTATATATTTATCAGACTGATGTCCATTCAGTCTGGTTGTAACGTGGTGAGCGCGTTGTCGTGTTGCAGGTGATGAGCGCGGACATATCCGGGGACAGCAGACACGTGGCCACGTGCTCCTACGACCGGACCTTCAAGTTGTGGGCTCCGGAGTTGATATAAATAAACATGTACTCTTTTGGATCGTGTTGTTTTTGTTAAATACCAAAATGGGGTGCGGGGAACGTTTTGCCACGTACCATCCGGCTATGGAATGGAATGAGTCACGGTGTTTCCCAAGCGTTATGACATGTCCTTCTTCAAACGAGGCTTGTGGAGAGTATTAAACGGTAGGCAGCGGCTTGGCTCTGCCCCTGGCATTGCTGAAGTCCATGTGCGACGGTAACCACTCACCATCAGGTGGGCCGTATGCTTGTCTGGCTATACGGCAAAAAAAAAACTCGGACCTCTCGATCCACCACTTTAGGGGGGAGTTGAGGCAAATTAGGATTTGTGGAGCGGTAGGGAGTTTAGGGTAGTATTTCGCTTCGTGTAGTTCTGAAGCAGTAATAAGTTTGTTTGGAGGGTAGATCTACCTTTATATAGGACTAGCTGTACCCGCCCGCACCGCTGGGCGTTTAAAATTAACATTATTATTTCTCACCCCACAAAGATTCTTGTCATAGACGCCCCCGCAACTGGTATAGGGAGTCTAACACTCATATAAATATTAGCCTATCCATTAAGTATATGTATTTTCTACATGGATACCAAGTTTCAAGTCAATCAGTCAGTCGTTCAAGTCGTTCAGTACATCCGTACGGAACGTTACGGAACATCCGTAAAAACCACTGTAGGTTTATATATTAGTATAGACAATTGATAATTCGAACTCGTGTCAAGGTCGCGATAGTCACGTTCTATGGTCTATGGGCTACGGACGACATACCAAATGGACGGTGAGCTAATTGACCCAATTACTTAATTTAGAAAAAAAAAACCATATTTTTGTTGTTGTTTATATTTTTTAAAGAGATTTTATGACCTGGTAACTAAGACCTTTAAGTCATGTCTTATTTTAATTTATGTTCTTATTTTTATGAAAAATGATAATATGCAGTGAAATGAAATGAGATGAAATGAAGATGATTAATTTGTGACATTAATCAACTGGGATGAAATTAAATGAAATGAAATGAGATGATATGGGATGATATATGAGTCGACTATTATCAAAGCCGGCAATGTGACTTTTGGACAATTATTGGTAAATCAGAAAAACGAATTATTGACTTTGTATTCCATTGACAGTCACAAAACTCTTCGGAACGACATCTTAGATAAATAACAGGTTAAGTATTAACCTTTATTTAATGCAGGTTTTGAACCGAATTCTTTGAAGGAGACGATTATATTCAAATAAATCTGTAGTGACATATCAATAAATTTTTTTTGTCCAAATGCACAGATTGCCACTTTTGATAATAGACGACTCATATAATCTCAATAAAATGGTGGTCATTAACTGAGATTTTTTCAGTGGACTTTTTGGAGGATCCCGAGAAGTTACGTCCAGCGGCTCAAGGCATTTCAATTCCGTTTGCAACGCTGTCGAGTCCGGACGTGTTTTCTCGAAATATTGTCGCTGCCGTCGCGATCTTGTGTTTTGGTTTACACGACATTGTCGCTGTCGCGTCGATCGCGACTTTGTTGTGTATTCCTGACGCACGGGCGCTGGCGTAGCGACCTTGGGTCGAAAAAACATTTCGAATTCGTTTGTTCTGCATTCGAAAACGCCNAAAAAAAAAAAAAAAAGAAAAAAAAAAAAAAAAAAAAAAAAAAAAAAAAAAAAAAAAAAAAAAAAAAAAAAAAACCAGCTGCTTTGTTTGATTTTCCCACATTTCTGCACTTTCACAGATATTAAAAAGGTTAATAAACCACCGTTATTATACATTTAAACCTGAAGAAACACTAAAGTGACAAAATAAAACAAACTTCACTCCTCGCGTTCCCACCAAAAAGTTTTGTTGTTATTAATTTTTTTCAAAATCACTTGTACCCTCATTTTTTTTTTTTGAAAAGCAAATTCGACTTCATATTCTTTATAGAACTATAGTCATAGAGGATCTCAACGAATTCACAAATAAAACTCCGTATTATTTTTTATTTAACAGTTTTTTATTGTATTTTATCAACTCTTACAATCAATATCCATAATATATAATTTCATGTGACTATTAACGTGTGAACTGTGTTACGCTTTTTCTTATAACGATTTCCGAAGAAAAATCTGACTAAAGTTTCCTTTTAATATTAATGCGTGAACTAAACATGTAACTCGCTTAAAATAGAGGGTATCACAAAATCAACTATATTCATGGGTAACATAGTTCATATACGGTAAGGCATATTGGATATATGAATCGCATGTGAGCCGGTCTGAAGGGTGGCATAGCCTTAATACCTTTTTTTTATTGCCTTTATAGGCAGACGAGCATAAGGCCCACCTGATGGTGAGTGGTTACTGTCGCCCATGGACTTCAGCAATGCCAGGGGCAGAGAGAAGCCGCTGCCTACCGCTAAGCACTCAAAATTGAGACTTCGATTCAATTTCTCATAGAGGGGGTAATGGTTTTTCTTGCGTATTGCTAGTAACCTTTCAGGTTATGTCCGCTGGACGTGTAGGTGAGCTCACGGGGCTCAACCTGAAGAGTGCTAGTACTAGCCCTGGCAAGCGTAAAAGTTAACTCTTTACTTTAGTTACTTGTTATTGGAGGTAGGACCTCATGTGAGTCCGCACGGGTAGGTACCACCACCCCGCCTATTTCTGCCGTGAAGCAGTAATGCGTTTCGGTTTGAAGGGCGGGGCAGCCATTGTAACTATACTGAGATCTTAGAACTTATATCTCAACGTGGGTGGCGCATTAACGTTGAAGTCGTCTATGGGCTCCAGTAAACACTTAACACTTAACACCAGGTGGGCTGTGAGCTCGTCCACCCATCTAAGCAATAAAAAAAAATCCTTCAGAACCACCACCGAAATCTTAAGTAGACCATTTCTACGACCACACGCATATAACAACGGGAACAGTAATAATCTTTGAATTCTCAACAGTATTTGATATGAGGTAAATATGTACAATCACGGAACGATATATAAGGAATGTATATAAGAATGTCACGACGAAATTTAGACTAAGCGCTGTCCGGTGGAATCACATTCATGAGACTTCGCCATTTTTAACCGACTTCAAAGAAAAAAGCAACTACCGATAACCCTCCTTATAACACGGTAGATACGTTTCTACAAAGTCCCGTGTTATATGAGACTAGGAGCCAGTAGGTACACAGAGGAGAGTAATTTTTTCTGAATAAAACATCTCAACTATGCCTGTGTGTATGTTTTTACCTATTTGTTATATGTAAAAAATAAGCAGTAATATTTCAGATATTTCCAAATATTGTGTGTGTCATAGTGTCTAATGTAATTTTCTAAATAATTATTACAACAAATATCCCGTTATCGTGTTGTAGAAATACCGCGTTATACGATAGTTTTGGGGAATTTTTCTTTTCGTCTCAAATTTGAATCGCGTTGTAAAATAGCGCGTTTTAACAGGATTACCTGTACCCAATTCGATATTGATGATTTTTTTTATTTGAGATCCAATGCTTCTTTAGTGGACCCATTTAAGGTGTACCAAGATCCGACCAGTATAGTCTTTGAGTATTGTATTATCCATAATAATGCATATTCGATTGACTTGGCCTATATCGATGATGCCTCATTGAATTTCTTTGAAGTCGGTTGTATTTTTAGTCGAAATATCTCTAATAACCCAAATCGAGAGAAACAAACTCCTAAGATCCGTCGGCAATGAGGATCCCGGATCTACGCAAGTCCTGAAAACCGATTCTCAGTCTGTTGTCGACAGGGTTAAGAGCTTCTCTGAGGCCTTCACTGCTCCGCGTTCTTTAAGAGCCGATATCAAAACAACTGGCCTAATAAGGCCCTTACTATATCGCCCATCGGCTGATCTTAGATTTGACCCAAAACCACGTGATTCCAACAAAGTTAAATCAAAATTTTGACACAAAATTCTGGAAACGACAATACGCAATGTCTATTGATGTGGCATATTGAGTCTAATGAAACATCGAACAATAAGAATCAGTTTGGGCATTCGAGGATTGAAATGGTAGCTTCGTTAGGGGTAAAAATTGGAATCGGTTTAAAAGCGGGTAATGTTTTTGTGTCGATTTCGCTGTGAGATTTGGGGACAGCTTTAGGTTCTGATGAACTGTACAAACCCAAACGAGGTATTTCAGTTAAATATTAACTCGCAATCTTTCGAACAATTCTATTGTTATTGGTAATAACAGCAAAAAAAACATATTGTTTCTATAGTTTCCACGAATTTGAAATTCCAAAAAAATGGCGGATTTTTATGTTTTTAAATAGTATTCACTTTGTTGTCATTTGGTTTAAATTAGTTTGGACTTTCAAACGCCAGGATCGGGAGTCGAAATTTCCACGTCCCCAACTCCCGAATCGCGAAAAGGTCTTTTAAAGACCCCCCTTGTGTGTGAATACGCCGACCTCCCCTACAGGTCTGGCTCATCAAGGGTGTGTAGCCAATTGAAAATGATCATGTTCCTCTCGTATTTCGAGAGGGGCCTTCGCCTGTCCCTCTCCAGGTCGGCCGCAGTCAGCGCTGTCTCCACCGCTTCTGTCCCCCCGAAGTTTACACACACATTATTCATCGTGGTGTTGGCAACTCCAACAAATATTACATTGTGCACCAAGGGAGAAAAGTAGGACATTTCCTCCCGCGTGTAAAATTGCAAACACGCGGGATGAGATGTCCTACTTTTTTCCCGCGGTGCACATACTTTTTTATCTCCTACCAGGCCGAAAGTTCGTGGAGTAGTGTCATATGGAATAAGAACTGTCTGATGAACTCATCTTTATTTAATACTTCACTATTAAATTTTATTGCCTTTTGTTTATTTCACTTTTACACTAAACACAATATTGCAAATTACCCGAGCACAACGATGGCGGAGAATTTTAGGTGCGTGAGAGCAGACGTAGACACTAACGCGCATGCGCACTTGTCAGTACCCAGGGAGGAAAAGTTACACTTTCTTCACTGTACAGCGGAACGAAAGCCGAACTTTCGGCGTAGGTAGGAGAAAAATTTAATTTGGCAACATTGTTGATGTCAGTCTCTTCCTTTTTTAATCATCACCGCAAGCGGACGTGTTTATTGTACTCATAAAATATCAAGTGTATAAACATACAAATAAACCATATTACAACCCATACAACCCGCAACAAAACAAGTGGCTTGCAAACGGGGTCTGCGGTGTACTTAATCGTGCTAATGTTTTGATGTTTTATGGGTTTGTTCGCTTCGTTAGTGACCCGTCACCGACATAGACATTGGCAATGCCAAGGGTACGGGGCCAGGTCGCTTCGATTTTTTCCAAATATTATTACCACATTGAAATTGGACTGCATGAGTTGTGTCCGTTTGCTCCGATTGCTCGTAGTACTCTTTTATCAACATCCTCCCCCTAATTCTTCATCAGTGACGTTTCCACTGTGTACGAGCAACGAAGAAGCAACCTCCCTGCCTATTTCTGAAGTAGTCATCTCTTCCGATTTGAAGGGTGGGGCAATCAAGACTTAGACCAAATATCTCCAGGCGAGCTGTGTTCAAGAAGGAACAACGCCACTCGGGGATTTGAAGACCTTAGCTACCGTCCGACAGACAGCGATGAAGTTCCACCGCCCTGCCTATTTCTGTCGTGAAGCAGTCATTTCTTCCGATTCGAAGGGTGGGGCAAACAAGACTTTGACCAGGAACAACTGTGTTCAAGAAGGAACAACGCTACTCGAGGATTTTTTACTGGGGGCAGGACCTCTTGTGAGTCCGCACGGCTAGCACCATCGCCTATTTCTGCCGTGAAGCAGTAATGCGTTTCGGTTTGAAGGGCGGGGCAGCCGTTGTAACTATACTGAGACCTTAGAACTTATATCTCAAGGTGGGTGGCGCATTTACGTTGTAGATGTCTATGGGCTCCAGTAACCACTTAACACCAGGTGGGCTGTGAGCTCGTCGAACCATCTAAGCGATAAAAAAAATTTGAAGGTCTTAGTTTAGAGCACTGACCGTGGTGCGGGTGTCGCGGGCGCGGCACGGCGAGCGTGCTGGGCCCGGCGTGCGCGGCCGCCGCGGCCTGTGGGGGGCGCGGGGGTACAGTTCGTACAAACACAACGTTACATTTAAACACAAATATATATACCGGGTGTCCTACAAAATCAAGCAGAGAACTGTATGCTTAGTGCTTGTTTTTAACGTTTTCGATAGCGTAAAAGTTAATTCAAATTTGTATGCAATTGGAAAAGCGCCCCTAGCGGCAAACGTAGGCGAATATTCCAACTCCATACAAATTTGAGTTAACTTTTACGCTATCGAGAACGTGACAAAACTCGCACTAAGCATACTGCGCAAGTGTGTGTTAAAATAGTCGACTCGACGATAAAATTAAAATAGTTTCGGAATAAAGTAGTTAGTTAGTAGTTGAACATAAACAAACAAAGGACTAACTAACTAAAAACTGAGAACTTGAGTTCGTAGCTCAGGCTGGACAACAACATCTATGCTCTAGTTGTCTGTGGGTTTCTATAACCACTTAACATGACACACAATATAATAATAATAATTCGACGCTTGAAAAGCAAACGTGACCAAGCGACAATAACTGCTTTGTACATAAATAACAGGCAATAACCGTATTCGACGCGCAAAAAATTTTTTTTTTTTAGGTCTATTAAAATCATTTCAATCCTACAGCTAGATTCGTTAAAATAGGTTTTTCGATTTAGTTTAGTTTAGGATTTTTTTTCAGGTATTTCAACTTTAAATTAGTCTACTGTAAAGTTCACGCATTGTCGTGTAATCATTTTTGCCTTTCAAGCGTCCATATGTTCTAGCTCCGCAACACAAATGTCGCCAAGTCTCGGACCATTGAGGTACTCCGCCGGCGCCGCTAATCCGTTCCCACTGTGTCCGCATATCAAACTACTTCTTGTCTTTGCAATAAGGTCAAATTTATTAACATTCGTCGTAGTAAGATTGAAATTTGCAAAGCTTTTTAATCTCTAGTTATACGGTTGCATTTTTTTTTTGGTATTCATTATTTGAAATGAGTTGAACGAATCTGTCATTGTCTATCTCGTTCTGACGCGTTTAACTTTAACTCAGAACTGTCATCGGACATTTGAAACTATTAATAAATATGGACCTGCAAGGCGTTTCCGTGAATCGCTAGGATATCCATCAAATTTTACCATTCATCACTCAATTGTAAACATTTTACGATGTTTGCGAGAACTACAAAACCGGGTCGCAAAGTTTGAGGTCATTTTTATGTCCGGTCGCTCACCTCAAGTTTGTCCAGGTTGAAGTCGGACTGGGACATCCTCTCCAGAGCTCGGTACGTGGTCAACAGCCTCCGCTTAATGTAGTTCTGCCTTACCTGCCAACGTGACCAGACTTTTTGAAATGTTCCCGCTAAGGCACCAAAAGTTGATATGCGAATTTTCTAGAAACTTCCGTGTATGTATCTCGGTGGCGCCGGGATAACGGTGTCGAAGCTTTAACAGCACGATGGCCTCGCAGTAGAAACACGTGGTACTGCGGTGCCAGTCCGTGCGAGCTCACAGACCACTCGTGTATAAATATTAATAGATATGTTTTTTTTTCTTTTTTATTGCTTAAATGGGTGGACGAGATCACTGTCCCCTGGCGTTAAGAGGTTACCGGAGCCCATAGACATCTACAACGCAAATGCCGCCACCCACCTTGAGATATAAGTTATAAGGTCTCAGTATAGTTTCAGCGGCTGCCCTACCCTTCAAACCGAAACACATTACTGTTTCACGGCAGAAATAGGCAGGGTGGTGGTACCCTCCCGCGCGGACTCACAAGAGGTCCTACCACCAGTAATACTTATATACATTTAAATATATGTATACAGCAAACAAATCTGTTCATCACATCGTTTGCCCGACGCGGGAACCTAACCCACGACCCTCGGCGCCGCTAACCACTGCACAACCGAGTCAGTACTATGATTAAGAATAAGCAATTATATTTGGAAGCTTAGATCTCGATCATCATCCCCACGTCTCAAAATCACACAGTGTCACATAAGAATACACCAATTTCAATCAAAGTTTAGCGTGGCTTACTTTCTTATTGTCGCTGGGTAGCGGTCTGGGTGACGGGTGAGAGGGCTGACTCCGCTGCGGTGACGGCAGCTGGGACCCCCCTGCTGTGGAGCCGGAGATGTTAGGACCGCGAGCCTAATTACAGTGGCTTCGCAAGCAAAAATGACCTTAATGATAATGAATTTGGAACTACACAAATGCAGCGACTTAAAGTTGTTTTAACGCTCGCGTCACTTGAAGTGTTTTAAGTTTTGGCCACATTTTTGTAGCCTGATGGCAACCCTCCTTGGGAATGCTTTTGTTGACCTTGGGCCTAGGTTGTATTGGCTTTGGTGAGGCTTTGGCTCTTAGTCGCTTTTTACGACACCCGTGAGTTAAGTTTGGTTTGGAAGTATTCTTAGGCACTCAACACACACACGCGAAAGACGATATGTATAAGAGAGGAGTGAACGAAGAAATGGTGTATGATAGAGGAGCATGAAAGGTGAAAACATGTTGCGCCGACCCCAGGTGACTGGGAGAAGGGCAGGGGAACGACAATGATGATGTAACTTGAAGTGCTCACGAGTGCTCACGAGTGCTCACAGTGGAAGATGGCATTTGTTTAACGTATTCTTCATACTTACTCGCAACCCACGTGCTGCAGGAGCGCGAGACTGCGTTCAGTGTCATCGCTTCCAAGGCGGCTGAGAGGCCGACCTCAGAGGTCGCACTGAAAATTATATTTCATCAAAATTTCAATATTTAATTTATTGAAAAAATAATATTATTTTAATAATTAGTAAATAAATATACCGCCCGCGGGCGCCATGTCGCCCCCGATCGATTTTTAGCGCCCCCTCGCTGGACTAATGTAATGTATGACAGCCAGAGCGATTTACTTACTCTTGTCAACCGGTGATACACAGCAAGTAGTCAGTTGAGTTTAGGATTGTGCATAGATTAGCAGTTTGCTAACCTTGAGCGTATCTAATAACACGCGCGTAGACCGTGCATTTAAAACTACTACTACAAATATAGATAATTGTTTAAGGACCGGGAACTCTAAATATATACCCAATTATAAGAAATTAGCTGAAAATATGGACACCCAAGTTTCATACTGAATTACACCAACAAAATAAAGTTATAAAAAATCTGGGTTTTTTTTTAATGGTTTATTGATACCTGTTGATTATCTGTAAAATATGCGCCCTCGGTGACTTTCAAATTTAGTATTGCGCCCTTGACAGGACAAACAGGTTGCCGACCCCTGCTCTAAACTAAGGCCTTCGAATCCTCGAGGAGTGTTGTACTGTGGAGTTGGTACCTGCGGACTGGCGTTGCGGAGGGCGGGGCGGCGACGTCGGCGGCGCTAAAGGACCGCCTGAGGCCGAGCTGTGCACACAGCGCCGCGCACCCCGCCAGCACGTCGCGGCAGCTGTCCGCGCGCCCCCCCGACCTGACGGCACAGTTCCCAGCGTCCTAGAGTACCGCCCCCACTTGCCCCCCTTGGGCGACATAAGCTGGTGGTAGGACCTCTTGGGAGTCCGCACGGGTAGGTACCACCGCCCTGCTTATTTCTGCCGTGAAGCAGTAACGCGTTTCGGTTTGAAGGGCGGGGCAGCCGTTGTAACTATACTGAGACCTTAGAACTTACATCTCAAGGTGGGTGGCGCATTTACGTTGTGATGTCTATGGGCTCCAGTAACTACTTAACACCTGGGCTGTGAGCTCGTCCACCCATACAAGCAGTAAAAAAATAAAAAAGGGACCAAGGGATTCCCCCACGTATCGACAGCAGCGTTCTCTTAGCATCATTATAATCACGATCGGAAACCATAATTGAGGCTGTTAGCGCAAAACCGGCCTAACCCACAATTTTTCATATTAGCACTTTTATATTGCAATTTATTTAAAACAATAAATTTTAATGGAGAACCGGCGTATCCTCAGTTTTACCCATAGACAACAGATTGTAAACATTATTTTTGCCAGTATTATTAGTGCTTACGAAGCAATGTAAAAGTAAATTCAAACCTAATTATCTCCATGATATGCTTAGACCACTTTTGCGCTGACGACCTCAATTGTGCTCTTAGTAGGACTACCTAGGTCTAGGACCTAATGGAAATCGTCGTGGCCTAAAGGATAAGACGTCCGGTGCATTCGTATGTAGCGATGCACCGGTGTTCGAATCCCGCAGGCGGGTACCCATTTTTTTAAATGAAATACTCAACGAATGTTCACGATTGACTGCCACGGTGAAGGAATAACATCGTGTAATAAAAATCGAACCCGCAAAATTATAATTAGCTTAATTACTGGTGGTAGGACGTCTTGTGAGTCCGCGCGGGTAGGTACCACCAGCCAACTTATTCCTGATTGAGACTCACATCTCACGTCTTAAGGTTCGTTGGAGCACATTACCATGTCTACGGGCTCGGAGACCCACTTTAAGTCAAGAGGGTCGTGAGTACGTTCACACTATTCACACAATAGTACATTGTAGCACATACTATTTTTTCTCCTACCAGGCCGAAAGTTCGACATTGTAAAAAACTTAGCACCCGTGGAGTACCTGGCCGGGGTCCAGTAGGAGAAAAAAAATTCAAACGCTCAGATTTTTAGCTGCAAAAGATGGACCGAGGATGGTTCACACTCTATCTGATGTTAAATGGTTACCAAAACTATAACTTCGTCTCATTGCTACAGTACTTACTTGGCATATTTACTGTCAGGGTTAGGGCTGGCGACCCTTAGAGTCGGATCAGGTCCTTGGCCGGCCTAAAAGTACAATAATAAGTTATTGCGGAAGCGGATCCCTCAAACCCCCAATCATGCGCTAAAGGCAGCTCTCACCACTTCACCAATCCACCATAACACGGACGATACAAGCACTTAACCAAACAATTGTTTACCAAAAACATGTCCATTTGAAATAGACCGGTACCCAAAAAATATATAGAGAATATTTATGGGAACATTTATATCATCATCATTCTCCTGCCCTTCTCCCAGTCACCTGGGGTCGGCGCAACATGTTTTCTCCTTCCATACTTTTCTATCATTTCTTCGCTCACTCCCCTCTTACCCATATCGTCTTTCACGCAATCCATCCATTTCTTCTTAGGTCTACCTCTTCGTCTATATCCTCCCACGTTCATAGTCTACGCTCTCTTACCAACCTCATTTTCATTTCGTCTCATCACATGTCCATACCATCCCAAACGCGCACTTTTCAACTTCTCTGTCACAGGTGCCACTTTCAGACTTCCTCTAACATTCATTCCGTATTGTATCCATTCTCGTTATTTATGGGAACATAATTGGATTCAAATTCGGAGTCTAATTATGAATATACATCCACCATGAAACAGTTAACGTCAAACTTAGTTAGAAGAGAAACTCTCTTTTTCTTTCCATATCTAGTAACCTAAGGGTATTCCAATTACGTCTGGTTTGATGGGTCACCCCACAGGACTCAACATGGAAGCATCTGTTCTAGCAAGAGGGGGGCTTTGCTGAATCATCGGTCAGAATCGCGACCCACTGACAAAGTCCATATGCCACAGAAAAACATTTTCAACTTATTAAGTTGAGCACTTGTAAAATTATTAGCTTAACCATACTCTTGACATTGTCAATGACCAACGGTTACAACCATATTGGGTAGGTAGCCTTCAAGGCAATAAAGAAAAGAGACTAGAAATCATAATATTTATTGGTGGTAGGACCTCTTGGGAGTCCGCACGGGTAGGTACCACCACCCCGCCTATTTCCGGCGTGAAGCAGTAATGCGTTTCGGTTCGAGGGGTGGGGTAGCCGTTGTAACTATACTGAGACCTTAGAACTTATATCTCGAGGTGGGTGGCGCATTTACGTTGTAGATGTCTATGGACTCCAGTAACCACTTAACACCAGGTGGGTTGTGAGCTCGTCCATCCATCTAAGCAATAAAAAAATAAAATATTAAGTGCAAAATTCGAAGTTTATACCTTACAAGCAAGTAGTCGGAGAACTCTTGCATCACTGGCTGCTGAAGACACACTGAACAGTGACAGATCGGTCGTGACCGACTCGTGAGACGGAGACCGTGCCACACGGCAGGACTCGCCGCACATTTCCACTGTAAAAATAGAATTAATTCTACAGATTAACTCTAATTAAACCACTTCACCATTGATTCCTTCTCCCCCTCGCGTCGTTTTCCTCATTACATTAGTTTCTCCCGTACGATTTCCCTCCATCTGCTGCGATCCTTAGCTTCATGAAGGGCATTGTGGAAGTTGATGTGTAAAGAAGATCGTATTTAGTCCGACCATCTCGTGGGAATGCGTCCTCTGGGACGTTTGCCATCTACCTTTTTTGTCACCATCAGCTGTTCTAGATTGTGATCCTCTTTACGAGCAATAAACCATCACCATTGATTCAGTACCTAATGAAGTCATAAAATCACACATCCTGGTTTGAACATCATCAATATCTTAGGCCTTCCATGGTGCCCGTTCTGACCCGGCAGGCTGGTTCTGGCCCAGCGGGGTATCCTGGAACACCAGCGGCATCGCCCGGACGGCCTGGTAGGGCCACTGTACCGCGTAAATCGGCGTTGTTTGTCGTCGACTATCGCTTTGACGACCCGTCGGTCGGGCGTCCTAGGGGTGGCGCCGCGTGTCTGGTTGTAGTGTTGACCGCGGGAACCCCCCTACTCTGACCGGGTTCTGCCCCGGACGGAGATCGGACGTCGGGTGTAAGAGAGCAGAGGAGTCGTTTAGTGCGGTAGGGCCCTAAAATTTTCCTTGGGCCCGAGGTCTGCTCCCAACACCTTGCAGATCGTCAAGTCCCACATACCCCGCGCGCGTCCTAGGCGCGGGGACCTCGTAGGAGGTTTGGCCCCGGCCCGGAAAAAAGAAAAGAAAAAAAAAGCATTCTACCTTAGGTGTCCAATTTTAATAGTTTTAATATGGGATCTTCACTCAGATACAAGCAGTCGATTCTCGTCCTATTTGCTGGGTACTGAAGTCTCTGAGCCGCCCTAAATTAGTATGGGTCTCAGTAGGGTTTTATAATTTCATTACTGAATTTTGGGACAGAATTATTCGACAGTTTCAAGAGCTTCAAACTCATAATTTTGTCTATGTTTACTTAGAGACCAGCTCCCAAAGACAAAAGTTTCTAGAGCAAGGTATGCACTCTATACTGCAGATGTTCTACCAATCATATCAAAATCATCCTAATATCCGAGCACCTGACCACATTTATTGAAACACATTGCCCCTGTCGCTATTGCTGAGTCACAGATACACTTGTAGAGTGTAGCATGTGAGTGAAAATGAGGGTAGGAGAGAGCAATACCCTGTCTAAGCCCATTGGGGGTTCCAAAAAGATCCGATAAGTCTGTTCAAATCCTTTGGGATGCAATAAGTGTCATTCTCATCAAATATAGTTTAGATAATATGACGACGCTTGCAGCTGAAAGTAAGTATTGTACTTTTTGACGAAGCATGTTGTATTATAAATAATAATATTGTTTAGATAATATAACATTCTAGCTGTAAGCCTGGTCTAATATAATGTCATTCTCGTCAAATATGTAAGTTTACATAATATACTATTCTAGGTGAAAGCCTGGTCTAAGATATCACAATGCATGTTGTCCAGGCAGCTTTAAGTTCAATAAATAGGTGATACATGTCTAATTAAATATCAAGGATTTTCATTAGAATCTGAAGAAGTTAGAAGTCACAGTTGTATTATCTTAGTTCAGGATCCGAAGGTTTCAATTTGTTCGAAAGAATGTTGGCAAATATGTTATAAACAGTATTAAGGAGAGAAATGCCCAGATGGTTATTACAATTGAGAACATTCCCCTTTCTTGTGGAGTAGACAGATAGATAACAGCAGTTGTATCTCAAGGTGGGTGGCGCATTTACGTTGTGGATGTCTATGGGCTCCAGTAACCACTTAACACCAGGTGGGCTGTGAGCTCGTCCACCATCTAAACAATAAAAAAAAAAAGTTATACATTCTCTGGTATAACTTCAGTATTCCTGATCTGCATAACGAATTTATGGAATTCTTCTTCAAACTGACACCTAGCTTATTTTGATAATTAATTTAATTAATAGTAACAGAGTAAATTAGTGATTAACAATCACTAAACAATAATAACGTTCCAATTATAACCAGTGATGTAGACATGGGTGTTATACTACACAATTTTATTTTAAAACTCCGCTTATCCTTTCTATTCAGTTCCCGAAATATAATTTTCGAAATAAAAAAGGCGTAATTAAATTTACAAGATTTTTGTCGAAAAACCATTTTAAAAAAGTGGTAAAATTAATTTTATCACTATTATAAAGAATGGAATTGTTTAAGGTGCAAATTTAAATAAAGCGAGACAAAAAATCAGTTTTTAAACCGTAAAATAATTTAATTAAAAGGGTGCGTATTCTAATTGGTGTTAAAAAAATATATTTGCGTGTATTGTTATTAAAACTGTACTTTTTATTTCAATAATGTGCTTATAATTTACTATGTATAGTTGTATTAAATTCAAATGAAAGCTAATTAGAATAGAATCTAACATTCATAATTCTAATTTTAATTTAATGCCTACAAAAAGCCGAAAGAAAACAAACGCGCATCTTGAAGGCGTATTAATAATTCGTATAAATCTACGTACCGTTTATATTAGGGTCCACGGTTATTAGATTGGGTAACATTAATGTTATTTTTATTTAATTATTCTAAAGCAAAACTTTCAATTTATTTAACGAAAATCTAATTGTTTTGTTAATTTTTCCTTTTTCCATTGACGGCTAATAGTGTAGCGGCCTAGTAGCATCTCTGGAGACATGAAATCGATTGCGGAAAAATCGATGTTTTTTAATAATTGGTAATAAACTGTACCTACTAAAAGACATACATCTATTGAAGATGTCATGTTACTAAATAAATTCGCCCATATATACCTAAATTTATTTTATGATATATGTATATCTATGTTTTTTTTTATTTATTGCTTAGATGGGTGGACGAGCCCACAGCCCACCCGGTGCTAAGTGGTTACTGGAGCCCATAGACATCTACAATGTAAATGCGCCACCCACCTTGAGATATAGGTTCTAGTCTCAGTATAGTTACAGCGGCTACCCCACCCTTCAAACCTAAACGCATTACTGCTTCACGGCAGAAATAGGCGGGGTGGTGGTACCTACCCGTGCGGACTCGCAAGAGGTCCTACCACCAGTGTGTACGCAAATTATAATTTTGCGGGTTTGATTTTTTTTAAAACACGATGTATTCCTTCACCGTGGAAGTCGATCGTGAACGTTTGTTAAGTACGTATTTCATTAGAAAAATTGGTACCCGCCTGCGGGATTCGAACACCGGTGCATCGATACATACGAATGCACCGGACGTCTTATCCTTTAGGCCACGACGACTTCAAAATAAAAATAAATGTAAAAGGAATAAACTTAAAGTATCCACGATTGAACGAAATTCGATTATGATCAAGGCACAATTTTCTTCAGAACGAATCGACATGTCAATATAATACTACCAGAGTATGCATGTATGGTTGTATCAGTTGTATGTAACTATTTTTAAGACAAATGAATACCCGAGTAATCGATTTGAACGATCGTATTAATTCTGTATTTTTTTCATTCATGGGGACTTACCTGATTCTACCAATAAAACATTTTAACCTCTTGCCACTGCAGCGCAATTTATCTCTGATAATTAATTACACACGCAGCGTTCCTATTTAATGGACTTTAAAAAATCGTGTTTTCTACGTACTGTCTGTCTGATTTTGCGCTTATGAGACATTTCAGTATAAGATGAATAATCATATTGGAATTTGTATGAGCTTTTTCTTCTTTTTTTCTGGGCCGGGGGCCGAACCCCTACGAGGTTCCCGCGCGTAGAGGGCGCCCGTGGTATTTGGGACTGGACCGTCTGCAAATGTTGAGAGCGGACCCAAGGATGGTTTTTAGGGACCCAGCCATTAAACCACTCCCCTGCACTCTTGCCCAAGCGTCCGATCCCCCAATGACATAATCCGGACAGACTAGATGGTTACCACGGTCAACAAATACCTATGAAATCGCCTGAACGAATTGTTTGTATTGCGGTCAGAAGATCGTATAATGATCATACTCCGCCCGGCTTGATTCCTTATTTCTTAGTTTAAAAACCTTTGCTTTCTCTGATTTAACTCCCGCCGCCGAAGGGGATAGAAGGGCAGTGGCGTAGCTACCCAGGGGCGGCCGGGCGTCTTTGGGGTGAGCTGCGCCGTCTGGTTGTAGTGTTGACCGCGGTAACCCCCTTATCTCATCCGGGTTTTGACCTCGGAGGGGATCGGATGGTTGTCGAAGAGTACAGGGGAGTTGTTTAGTGGGTAGGGCCCGGAAAACATCCTTGGGCCCACGGTCTCGCAGTCGTGGACCAGTCCCACATAGCCCGCGCGCCCCCTAGGCGCAGGGACCTCGAAGGAGGTTCGGCCCCCAGCCCGAAAAAAAAAAGGCCCAACCTTTATATAATAAGCCCTTGAATTTTTTCTATTCTGTTTTATTAGCCAAACCACACATACACCAACTATTAATTGTTATTTATGCTGTTACTGTTTAATATTTTTATTACCTGCCCTTTATTGCAGAAAAAAGAGCTTGATTAGCTTAGCATTTTTAAAGTATTTGTATATTTCGTATTTTTATTTGATAAAACCTAATCAGTTTACATAGCAGTGGGGCCCCATTTTTTAATTTGCCCCAGTGCCCTTGGTTACCTAGCTACGCTACTGTACAAGCGGTTAATGTCCCATACCCAACTCCCCTCACATACCGGCTTGGTGACTTGCAAAAAGGAACCAATATGAGCATGTCTCTACTTGCGTGATGAAACACACCTAAACGTTGACCATACTCTTGAGCTACTTTTGACCTAGCGACGTATCTCGAGGACATGATTTGAAGGCCCCTTCTTGGCTTCCGCGAGCTCGTCTACTTGGAGCCGAGGGCCAACGTTGTAAAGTGTGGTCTCAGCACACAGGCCCCCGCATACTTAACACCACCCCCGGCTTTGACTGGTTTTTATTTCTAGTGAAAACCAGGTAGCCTTGACATGCCCGAACGGCTCATTACCCCTAGCACATGGATATGAACAGTTAGCAAACCTTGGGAGAAGCTGATGTCACTAAATTCAAACTGCGATTTGGAACTTTTAGGAAAAATCGAAATAAAACAACAATTTCTAATAAATCTTCGAAATAGCATATAATTTTAGGAAATAAAAAAATACACAATAGATATTCTTACGTAATTAAAACATAACTTCTTTTTTCCATTTGAAAACTTAAAACTATATATTTCAATATAGGCGAGAGCGGCCATTTTACTTTGTGACCAAAAAATAATAATTCTATACTAAACTTGGAATTTATAATGAACATTAACTTTCTGAATACAGTATGATGAGACTTTCTGAAAATATGCATTTGTCATATTAACGTTTTGTATGTACGAGTTATAGCTGACAGCTGTCAATTTTGACGTCTGTCATCATTTAGTATTGGTTTTCTCCGATCACTGATGTGTTTTGCGCACTCTTATATGATTTTCCACGAATAAACAGTGCAGTTTACGAATAAGCACTGTATATTTGCATACTGTGAACACTGCTGTTAGGGAAAGTTATTCTTTGTTAATTTTCATTACAAACTCTTGCACTTAGATGTAATATGAGGACAAACGCGCTTCAGCCATTACGACGGGGACATATCTTCAAACGGTGGGGATGTTACGTTTTTTTTTTGGACAGAAATACAGGTTATAATCGCCCTACCTCAAGATTGATTTGCTGAAGCGTCTTTGCCTTATAAATCTCATATCATTCTTTATTATTTTCGAAATAAATAAAACCACTCTACGACTATCGTATCGTTAACAATTTTAAATGTTTTCCGTCATCAACTTGTCATTTTACAAACTCTAGACCGACTCTAGGTAATGTCAAATTGAATGCCTGGTCTGGCAACACTGATGTCAGTTTTGACGGCAGTCAAAACGTAAACTATGGAGGGTAAAAGTAAGGACTATCTTCTTACACTAGCGCTATTTCGGTGAGTCTTCTTCTTCTCGCTGTTTACAAACGGACACTTTTTCAACTTGTACCCTATACAAGATGGCGCTCCTTACATCTACCCTCCATAACGCAAACCATCTTGTTGTCTATTTAAAATTTCCGAAACGAACATTTAAAGTCGTTTGTGTAAAAATTAATAAAAAATAAAACTATTTAAAAGGACCAAAAGTCAACAATGTACTGTAATATTTGTACGTGGTGCTTTATTCGCAATGGCAACACCCGTGAACTTGAAAATACTTAAAAAGAAAAATAATATTTTGTAGCAGTTGAAATTTAAAAATTACCAAAAGTCGTCCATTGAATGAATGTGTTGCTTAAAAAAAACAAGAAATTGAAAAAAAAAACAAAAAAAAATACAGTACAGCTATGTATGTGTATGCGTTACATATGGCTACAATACTTAACTTACGGATAGATATATTAATAGATTTGTATATTTTAAAAACAATAAAAAAAAATTTCATCTCCTTTACATGAGAAACACGAAAACATTTCACGGTTAGCTGGAAGTTAAAAGAACTAGCCAAATCCTACAATCTACATTCCGTAAATAAAAATAAAAAAAAAAAAACAAAAGAAAAACTAAGAAGCCAATATAGACATGATTTCCAAACTTCATATTTCTACATCAACGAAAAGTAATACTTATGAAAGTTTAATTTTATTTTTTTATATATATATATAAATATAATTATTTTAAAAGCACGAATGGCGCCGAACCCCCTCCCCTCCTCGGTTCTCGAAACACGTCAGCATCACATGCCCGTTGTGTATATAATATAAAAACGATTTTAAGACGCACCAGAATCGCGAGACGTCATTCCGAATTCAACCCTGACAGCATTCGATGTTCGAGAAAAGCCCGACACACATCACTAGAGCGGACTGCAGATTACTATTCACGAAACCGATATAAACAAAAGTGTCATAAACAAATAAAGCAATCTGTGACTGTCGTTTTTTTTTTACCACTACAGTATTACATTTTGTTTTAATCAAGACTTATAGCACCGTGATAATTTAATAGTATCGGCGGGAATCTTTCCTGATGTCAAAGTTATCATATTTTGACATTCAAAAAGTATGAATTTGAAATTGTTTATTTTTATTTTTATTTAATTAATACAGTGATCGTTTGTGAACTGGTTTCGATTCAAACAGCCACAAATCAACAATTGAATCTGTGTGGGGCATAAAAGTAAATTCTGTAAAAAAACACACACAACAAATAGCTGCCACAAACGTTGCCAGCATTAAAAACGAAACGAGAACGCGTTAACACTAAAAAGATACACGTAAATAAAATGAAAAAAAAAATTCACAATATTTCATTCCACATAAGAAATCGTTTGGCAAGTTATATTTAAAAAAAAAACATAAGATTTTGAAGAAGAAACAAAATATATATTCTCTTTTTTTTGTCAATAAATTAAACTGAAATCTCTTAACTATGTCATAGCATCTACTATTTGATGAATAGAAAAGAACAGCTCATTTTTGAGCAAGGAGTGAACTATTTCCCTTCTGAGCATTACCAGAGTGCAAACTACACTTATTTACTGACAACACAGCGATTACTTTTTTTTTTAATTCGATTTATTTAAAATAGCTCAAGGTACACACTACTGCTTTCTGAATATTAAAAAAAAAACTTCACACCAAACGAAACGCGCGTCACACAAGCGGGGCAGGCTGTAATTATTATATTTATATGTTTTCCGTCATCTGAAGCTATATAACCCACTAGAAATATATAACGCAGCCGCAGTCAAAACGCTAGGTGTCCGCTATACCTTATTACGAGAAATCGGAAGCGTCAAGTCGATGAATCTATTTACCGTAAAAAATATTGTTTTATTGACTTCGAAGACTGACCACAATGTTGATTAATCACACCCATTGGATCATCAATGCACCATAAACAAACATCATCAATACATATAATAAGAAATAAATATGATTTTATCAAAATCAACAGTCTCTTAGGATCCTTTTCGACAGAATCCATTCGAGCCTTCAGCGAAACTCACTAGGACTAGATCCAGATCAGCATATATAGGACCGATAGGGTCAGCATCAGAGATTTGTTTAAATACCGATTCCTATTATCTGCCCCATTAGTGTGCGACACGTGTACAACAACAACGCTCAAAGTAATGCTCATTGAGTGACCGCCAGGCGTGGTCACTCGATACTCGCGCCATCTACAGTAGAACAGCAGATTAAGCTAAAACAACGGCGTAGACAGAGACGCCGATAGTCAAAAAGCACAGCGCGTGAGTACATAGCAGAAATGCCCTTAATTTAGCCGAATAGGTGGGTCTTGGGGGTAGCACCCCTCGCTCGAGTGGTATACAGCTTGCGTCGATAAATTACGCGAATCGGTAAGCTATTGCTAGTAATTCCTTGTTTGCTTTATAACATCTTCACTTACTATAATGATGTCGTCAATGTAAACTTCTTTTTAGAGTTTTTAAACTCAATAAAGAAACTAAAACTGTTACTGTGACCTCAAAACGTGAAATATTTATTAGAATAATGAAATCGCAAAGCTTTAACTGTATATTATTCGTTTTATTTTAGAAGGGATGGAGAGAATGAAGTCCAAGTTCATGGGATTAAAGAAACTTAAGCTAAATTTAACCATGGATTTACTGGCTAATATTGGAAGAAAACAATGCTTATGCGACTATAGGTTTTAGTGTGGGATGATCGCCACACGAGACAGACGAGGGACCACTACTTCGACGCACGAATTCAAGACGCGAACTGTACACCTGGCGATTTAAATATATTAAAAACAGAGCATTATTTCACTTTTAAAATCTGACATTTCGCAATTAGTCAAACTTAACATTTACAGTAATTTTAATTGAAAAACAAACATAAATGTTTATATCGATACATCAGAACCAAACTGATTACAAGTCAAAATCTTATTATATCAATGTCTGCAATATCTTATTGGAATTCAGTTTGTATAAAAATATTTAATCAAAACATTTTGGGTTGTGATTTTGGAACAGTAAAATGCAGTTTTCTAAAGTAACCAAAAAATTGCATTGATAACCTCAACCTCATTTATTATCCGCGTTACGGTTCTGATGTGTCGATATATAAACATATAGTCCGACATTTTTAATTATTTTATTTGGAATTCAAACGATAGCAACGCTAATTCCATTTTAATCAAGAGGTCCATTCTAGTATTGCATATTTCCAAATAACTTTTTTTCGATCCACATGTCAGACTTAACATATAAATACATATAGTTCAATTTATTTTCTGTTTAAAATTATGTACATCCCACCGCACTTAATAAGACATGAAAATCAATAATAAAAATATAATATAATAAAGCTGTTATATTGTAGATTACACGTGTAATTTCTGTATTTCGGTTTTTTCCTTCTTTTTTTTTAATATATTTTTAAATTTTATAATTAGTATATTCATAATAAAATTACAAGTAATTTCTGAAGCGAAATGGCAGTACAGCTTTGTGGGATTTATCTGAAAAAAAAATACAAATTTTCTATTTTTTGGCTTAGACTAATGAATGAGCTCTTGGCCCACCTAGTGTTAATATCCACCTTGAGACATGGGTTCTAAATCTCTGTCCTATAGTACAACGGCTGCCCCACCCTCCAAACTACGACAGAAATAGGCTAAATACTGCTTCACGGCAGAAATAAGCACCATGATTGTACCTACCCGTGCGGACTCACAAGACGTCCCACTAACACCAGTAATTACGCAAATTATAATTTTGCGGGTTTGATTTTTATTACAAGATGTTATTCCTTCACCCTGGAAGTCAATCGTGAACATTTGTTGAGTACATATTTCATTAGAAAAATTGGTACCCGCCTGCGGGATTCGAACACCGGTGCATCGCTACATACGAATACACCGGACGTCTTATCCTATAGGCCAAGACTAGTTAGGCTTAGGCTTCTTCATCTTTGTCTATTTGTGGCGATGCATGTACATCCAATAAGGGAACACTTCGTTGATGATTTAGTAGTCTGTCCATCTTGTGGGTGATCAAACGCGAGAACATTGGCTGTCCCCTCTTCCATGAACTGTTAATCATTCCAAAGAGCTTTCCGTGATACCACCTACCCCTGTATGGAAAGATCTACCTTCTACGTATTTCTAACTCTTACATCTAGGCAGGCTGCGGCGTGCTGGACTTCTCCTTCTTTTTTTCTTTCTTCTTCTTCAAAAACGACGGCGTCCTGAGTCCCTTCTTCTTCTTCTTGTCCTTCTTGGGCGAGTCCTCGGTGGAAGCCTCCTTCGACGGAGAGCCCTGGGAGACCAATAAACGTGATGGAAACAGTCAGTAAGATTAGATTAACGTAGCATTGGAATAGCTTATGCTTAGAGCTAGATGGCGGTAACAGCCGCACATTGTAAGAAATTACAGTTCGGGTTTTTTTTACATGCTTTATATCAGCTTCACTTGTATGTAGGTTTGTAACTGACTCCTTTAGACGCGATTTTGACCCACTTTAAACGGCCAGTTTCATTCAAACTTTGTAGATTTATCGAGGACCGATGACAATTCAATAATAAAAAAAATTAAATTTAAAAAAGTTGAAAAAATTTTAATTCAACAAAAAAATGAAAAATAAATAATAGTTTAAAAAAACTAAAAAATATATTTTTTATTGTAAAGAAAGCGTGGGGTGCATGGTGTTATTAGTTATAAATATTTTTCTGACAGATATGAGTAGAAGAATTATTATTTCAATAATATATTAAAAGCACCCCACGCTTTTATAAATAAAATATATATTTTTTACACTATTTTCAATTTAAATTTATTTTTTATTTTTTAGTTGAATTTTATATAAAGCGTGTTTTTTTTTAGATTTTTTAAACTATTATTTATTTATATTTTAATAACCTTTTAAATTTGGGATAGAATTGAGAATCCAACCTCACATCTCAAGCCATGAGGTTCGTCTACCCATTTATAGAACAAAAAAATCGCTAGTATATTGAATCTTACCTCTTTACTGCTGTGAGAAAATGTACTCTGATGGGCATCCGAATGGTCACCGTTAACAGTGTGGTCACCTATATGACGAAATTTCAATTAGTACATACTCATTTTCAATTTAAAGCTAGAACATACAACAATAAGACAGCTATAAAACCATCACCTCTAGTATGTAAGTGGTCGCATCATTTGACAAGGTCGAATGGCGAATTTTTTTTTTTATTGCTTAGATGAGTGGACGAGCTCACAGCCCACCTGGTGTTAAGTGGTTACTGGAGCCCATAGACATCTACAACGTAAATGCGCCACGTACCTTGAGACATGAGTTCTAAGGTCTCAGTATAGTTACAACGGCTGCCCCGCCCTTCAAACCGAAACGCATTACTGCTTCACGGCAGAAATAGGCAGGGTGGTGGTACCTACCCGCGCGGACTCACAAGAGGTCCTACCACCAGTAAAAACAAAAACGCCAAAAGAAAGACCACGTAAACGGTACTTAATAGCTCGACGATATAATTATTTACGCATTCATTCGATACAACAACACACTACATACATCTTCGAGTTGGATTTGTAACGACGACATTACGTCATCATCGTCAGCCAACGGTCCACTACTTGATATGAGTCGACTATTATCAAAGCCGGCAATCTGACTTTTGGACAATTATTGGTAAATCAGAAAAACGAATTATTGACTTTGTATTCCATTGGCAGTCACAAAACTCTTCGGAACGACATCTTAGATAAATAACAGGTTAACTATTAACCTTAATTTAATGCAGGTTTTGAACCGTATTCTTTGAAGGAGACGATTATATTCAAATCAATCTGTAATGACATATCAATAACATTTTTTTGTCCAAATGCACAGATTGCCACCTTTGATAATAGACGACTCATATAGACCTTTCTCATTTAATTCCACATGCTATGCCTTCACTTGTAGGTTCATTCGGGAACGCGAATTAGCTACTTCTTCACTTAGAATTACAGCGACAGGAGAACAAAGTATCTTCGCCTGCGGAATTTTTATTCCACTTCAAAATCCTCCATACAAATTGACAATCATTTAAGTCATTATATATGTTTGATTCGACCTAAGAAAATACAGTTCAGTAACACATAAGCGATCCCGCATTTAAGACTGGCAACATTAGAAAATAAAGAGTTAGGATCGAGTAAGAATGCAGCAAGCTACTTACCGGATATATTGTGAGCCACGCCCCGAAGCCAATCGTAAGCTGTCATGCACATTTGTGAAAGCGAAACATGAAAAGCTTGTTAGAGTATATTTTAGTAATCCCCTATATAACGCGGTACTCTTATAACGCGATTTCATGTACATCATTTCATTCTTACCCATATAAAGCGGGGATTTCCCGGGTATAACATTTCTATATTTCCAGAAAACTATAATAATTTGTACATTTTTGTAATTGTTAATTAATTTCACGTACCTCTCGTAGACACAGTTAGTAACAAATTCATATTATTCATTATCAAATGTTCTAAATTCGGTTTTAATCAAACGCACATGATTCGATATCAGCATACTTTAATATTCGATTTTTGTACATAACGCGTTATAGGTGCGCGTTATACGATAAGACGCCTACAACGCGGAAAATTTCAAAGTGTTATAAAGGAGACTACTGTAATTATTGCAACTGTGACAAAATTCGTGCCGAAAGCAACCCAAACTATACGAAATGAGCGTTTGGTACAGAATAGATAGATGCAGGGTGTAAGGTAATGCTTAAAGTGATCCTTCGCTATGTCGCATCGGCCCTGAATAGCACACCGCCCTCTGTCGGCGGGTAAAAGGCAACTACGGAATTCACTGTTTTTTTTTCCTGCCTATGCTGATAGCCTTGAGAGGCTATATCAGCTTCTCCTTGACGTGTAGGTGAGCTCACGAGGCTCAAACCGGGTATCTTGCTAACACTGGCCCTAGCGAGAACAGTGCTCCGCAGAATCTACCACCGGATCGGAAACGCGACCCACTGAGAAGATCCGGCGAAAAACTCAGGGGGCTGTTTTAATTCACTCGCCGAGCCCTTCGTCGCAAGCAACGGATTCGACGAGAACGGTTACCGGTGCTTGTGGTACCTATAAGCACCGTTAATGGATCAGGAGGATCCGTAATGACGTGTGGAAATCACCGGGGAATGGAAAGCAGCATCGGATTATTAGGTCAACGTATTGCGATGTTGTTAGCTCGAGTGTGTACCATCAATGGCTTTAACTGTCCCGAAGCGGTTAAGCTTTCCTGTATGGATGGCGAGTCAGCCATTATGGAATTCAAGACTTCAATTCTGTGTTTCAAGGTGGGTGGAGGCATTCAATGCCTAGTATGCGAGCTCTATCACTAACATACGCACTAAAAACATAAAGACAATCCCAACTAGTTACATTTCAATCTCCACATAAAGGATCAGATTATTGAAAACTACCGCCAGAAGTTAATTAACATATCGAAGGGTTAAAGGTTATTTGTTTAAGAGACATTTCACTTAACACGCGACATTTATCTTTGTAATTAAAGATCCGTTTTATTTGGTATCAGCATCGACATTTCTATACTTTTAATTGTACTTCGACCTCTTGTGAGTCCGCGCGGGTGGGTACCACCGCCCCTCCTGTTTCTGCCGTGAAGCAGTGATGCGTTTCGGTTTGATGGGCGAGGCAGCCGTTGTAACTATACTGAGACCTTAGAACTTATATCTCAAGGTGTGTGGCGCATTTACGTTGTAGATGTCTATGGGCTCCAGTAACCACTTAACACCAGGTGGGCTGTGAGCTCGTCCACAAATCTAAGCAATAAAAAAATTAAAAGAAAAAAATTAAATTTACTCCATCCAAATAGCTGATCAAGTTTATTTAGTTATGATGATTTTTCAAAATTTTTACCATTAAATGGCTCTCGTGTAGAGTTGCAAAAATGTCCAACCAACAATGTAGAGTTGCAAAAATGTTAAACCAAATAACCTTTTACCCCTTGATATGATTCCTCGCCGTGTTTGATAGCCGGCACGAGATCGCTTTAGTCGAAAAAAAACCAGTTAACGTTACAAACATATAGATTTTGCATGGTTGTCTGTGACTCTCATTGATTTGCGAAACTTTGCAAATTCATTCTGTCTTAAATAAGCACAAAGGATCCAGGCATAATAACTTGACGTTTGAGGCGATTCATTTTTTTTAAGGACCAGCTTTTTAAGGACAGTCAAACGACAGTCGATGCCTGCTTGATTCACGCGAGGCAACTGATACCTAAACGATTTACATTGCGTGGTCAAACAAAAATTTTTTTTTTATTTATTTAAATTTCTTAATACAGCTTTCCGTACTTTACACCCTGCGTCATTTAAAACAAATAACAAACACACAATTTATTAAGTTAACAAATTTATTCCAAACTACATTAAAGATATCAACACTCTATTAAGCCTACAGGAATGAAAGCTCCAAAAATTCACGATAAAGCTCTTGTACGCTAACATAAAATCCAAGCCTTATTTTTAAAAAATACACCGTAATGAAAGCTCCAAAAATTCACGATAAAGCTGTTGTACGCTAACATAAAATCCAAGGCTTAATAAATAAATAAAAATGCGTTTTTATTTCAAAGTACTTGAAAGACATAAGATCGTGAATTCTCAAACATCCAAATGTGCCATACGGTCAAATTGAGAATCCTTATTGTCATTTGACGGTAGACCCAAATTTTGACTGCGTAGCGTTACGCTTTTGAACCTTAAAACACGTCAAAAGTGAATAGTTTCTCTAGAGACAAATAAAACGCGGAAGGATATTAATAGTTCTACACACAAGTTTAAGGGTAATGCGAATTTTGCCAAGACTAAAGATTCAATCGACTGAACTTGAACAGTATTACAATTTGAATCTAAAAGAAATAAAAACGCATTTGACAAACACAATGGGGCACGAAGATCAGGAATTACATGCATTAAAAACAAAAGCATATCAAAATCCCTATATTCGCAATGTTCCATAGACCTCATAACAAATAGACACTCAAAAGCATTGTGGTACGTCAAAGACGGAAGGCTTTGACGATGATGCTCTCAAGAATACTGTGAATATAATAGTTAATGGGTTTAAAAAATACAAGACCATTCCCGTAGACAAATTAAAAGACAATCAACAAACTAAAAAAAAAAAAAGTATATATGCGCATGCTAAAAAGAACTCAAACAAATATAATAATAAAAAGCTAAATCGACTGTACGTACACGGAACGTTACAAACAAACATTTTGTATGAATACATCTTTAAAAATTAAATTTAAACTTTATCCTAAATAAATACGTATTATATTCCATTGGGTTTTAAACGCCACATATATCCCATTACCGCTCGTAATTATGTATTAATTATATAATACATCGTAACGATATTTCAAAATACAATGCATTAGATTAGAGCATTGCGTTTAGACAAGTTTCAACAAATCAAAATGAACACGTGTCGCCATTGTTCTGACTAAAAAAAACACGACCTCTAAATTAATTTCATCAGTGGACTGATACTCTTCTTGAAACCAATAGAGGTTAAGTCAACTTCGATAATGACATGAATTTATTGCTCCAATGCAATGTCCAAGAAGCTGCAAACTTTGAAGCTTCTATTCTGTTCATTGAAGAGAAATATATCTGGCAAAATTGATGCTTATTTCTGAGCTGCGTAAAGGCATCAGCCTAAGCTATTGTCGATCCTGACCCTATCCAATTCGCTGGCGTCAAAGCTATCCGACATTCGGAAGTTAGAAATGATCTTATAAAATAAAGTATCTTCGAACGGAGGCCAGCTACTGTACTCCCTTTTGCGCAGTTCATAAATACATTTCTTCTTCGGCACATCGATATCATTCCCAATCGCATTCAAATCGAAAGAAATATCATTCGATTCGCCTGCATTGTCACTCGAATGATTTTTCGTCACGCGTTTCTCGATCTTACTATCGATAACAATAAAACTGGGCATCTCGGTGCTCTTGCGTCTGAAACCGAATTGAATATCCTCTGTTGTCTCGCAATCGTCAAAAGATATC